TTATCCATCCAATCCGTCCAAATTGATTTTGGGTCGTTCAAAATCGGTCCATTGTGAAGGAAGGGTTAGGATCTATCATATGGACGGCCGAACTATGCTAGATGGCTGGGAGAAATTTCAAAAATTTCCTAATCCTTCTGGGAATTGAATTCTCTATGTTTTGAAAAATTGCATTTTTCATGATCGGTCTTGCACTGAACCGAACCAGATTTGAAACCAACCAAAGACGAAGATGTATACCTGATACGGATACCACAAATGCAGATCCCAAGGTGGAAGTTCACATCGTTCATGCCCAAATCAATCCTAAAACCAACCTCCACTGAATATGGCACAGTGTACTCCTGAAGTCGGTTCAACAACGCAGTTTTCAGCAGAACTACAATCCAACTATTTGGGTCAAACTGAGGAGGTGAATACGAAATTCCTATGGATTTTTCTTGCAAAAATCAGAAGAAAACTAATCTCTATCAGTCCCAAAATAACTGTGATCGAACTAGGGTATCTTGGGATACAAAAGAAGAAGAGATAGCAAAATAGGGAGGTGTTATAGTCTAGTTCGCCCTCTTCTTCTTTTATCTCTTTATGCAAGACTTCTCCTAATCAAATTAGGAGATTATCCAAATCTAATTTGAATTTGAACTCTATTAAGAGATAAAGTCTTATCCTCTCAAGAGGATGGGTGCTCCATACCCATTTCCAAACTCAGATTCGCCCCATGTCACATGACAAGTCGTCATTTGATGGTTTAATTAATCATATTAATTATGGGCCTTAGGCCCATAAGCTATAAGGCTCACTACCCAAGGGTGTTGCATGGCCAACTTAGGCTTGATTTGTATGGCGTGGGACCCCACAATGACCTCACATAACTCCACATGGGTCCGGCCCAACCTTTGTAAAAAAAACTTGGCCGAATTCACTGTTAAACACAGTGAATCCCTAAGGACATAACTATGGGATCAAAATGGGCCTAACATTTACACTTAAATGATCATTGAATTCAGCCATCCTATGAAGACCCAAGGATAATGGAATTAAGTAAGATAAAGCCCATCAAATAATCAACTTGTAATGGTCTTTTACACTTAACATCTCGGCCCATAATGATCAAACACTGCATGACAGGGAAGGACCTCTCCCCTAACTGCAAAGTGCAGTTTCACACTCTCTGCTCGGATGGATTTCGGGAATTAAAACCTTTTGCAAACATTTTTCATAAAATTGAAATCCACTGTCGGCAATTTTGGTTTCCATTAGAGAGAGTGTAAGTGCTATAATTCACTTTGTTTGATAAAGGGGTCGATCCTATCACTATGATCACCCATTTCAGTGAATTCATAGACTACCCCAACATACCCAGGTTTTGACCCTCAATAGATCTCACTGATTGGCATATCAAAGACAGTCCAATCCGACACCTAGTGCAATACTATAATCAAGTCTAGGGGTTATATGTAACTTTCCAGTTTTGCCCATCAATCTCCAAGGTCCAGGGCATAACCGGAAAATGGTCCGAATTCAGTGTTTCAGCCAAACACACTGCATGTGCTTTGGGTCTAACCCTAGCAGCTGAGACAAGCTGCCCCAACTTCTTTGGCAACACATCAGTGTTAGCCTTGGTAAGATAAACTCCCCAAGTCTATCCAACGGCTGAGAACATTCTAAACTAACACGAGTGTCATAAGTATCTAGTTTAAGGGGTAATTTCACAGAAATATACCAATACCAACATGATACAACAATGTATTTTTATTCATTTACAATAAATGTATCTATACATCTATCTGATTGGAGCTAAGGGCATACACTACCTAACACATTGACACCCTTACAACTTGACATGGGTCAACCCAAAACCCAACTGGCCCAATCTAATATTATGTTGGGTTAGATTGAGGTTTTTAGAAACTCAACCCAATTTAGGATGGATTAGGTTAAGATTGAGGCTGCATGAAAATTGTATATAAACACATTATGTATGAATTACATTTTAATATTTTATATATTATTTAATATTTATATATTTATTTTTAAGGAATTTAAAAAATAACTTCACATATATAGTATTAAGATTTTATCATGCACTTATGCGATTAAACTGATCAAATTATTTAAATTGAATGGTCAGGGTTACATTAAGGTTAAGAGTCAGGTTGTCTGACTTAAAGAATTTCAACTGCATGGTGCATGAAGTCGGATTTGGTCCTCACACCTTCCTCACAGCTGCAAGGGGCTATGAGGATGGTGTTAGGGCAGTCTTGTGCAGTCTTCTCGATTGGATGTCCTTTTGGTGGGAACAAAGTATAGATAATCCAATGGATGATCTTGGTCATTTCAGTAAATTTGCTATAATCCTCTAGCATTGCTGGAAGAATAGATGCAAGAAGGCAATAGAGAATAAATCTTTCAACCCAGTTGAAACTATTTCATTGGCCCATGCACAGATTGAAGAGTTGGCTTCACTAAAAAGGAGGGGGAGCATTCTCGCCTCTCAAAACAACCAAATGATCAACAACCATTGTAGATGGTCTCCTCCCTCTCACCCATTCTTAAAGATTAATGTCGATGGTGCAAATACAAATTCTTTTTTCTGGGCTTAACATTATCTTGAGAGATCACAATGGAAGTTTTGTATTTAATAGAGCCATTTGCATGGAAAGGACGGATCCTGACATTACTGAGGTGCAAGCTTTCAGAGCTGGACTCTAAATGGTGAAGGAACTCCACCTCTCTCATATTCACATTGAAGGAGATGCGCAAAAGATAATAGATATCCTGTTGGACGCCTGTCGAGACATCCCTTGGTGACTTCACATAGTTATTGCTGATTGCAGGAATCTTTTGCAATAATTTCATTATGTTTTAATCTCCTTTATCCCTCGTACAGGTGGGTTGCCCATATAATTGCAAAATTTTCTTGTCATGTGTGTAGGATCACTACTTGGCCCTTACCTCCTAACTTTCTTATTCCTATAATGGAAGAAGATTTTGGTACAATGAATTTAGCCTAAAAGGTTTCAAAAAAAAAATGACAATTTTCTAATCAAAGCTGCACTCTTGGGTTATATATTCTAATATTAGTTTGGGCTCATTGGAGTGAGGGTCAAGTTAGGGTTGACCTGTTATTTTCACGAAAAATCCCTTTTCTGGCCTCAAATTGCAAATTTTAATATTTTTATAAATAAAAAATTAAAAACTGAATTAGGAAAATATAAAAATACATATAACATATGTAAAACATAATTATATATTATTTATTGATAAAATATACATTTATACACACACATTATATATATATGCAACTTAAATACATGTGGGGCGATCTGACCTGTTCGACCCAGATGGTCAAACTAGTGACCCGTGATCCAGAGGCAAAAACAGTTTGGCCTCCGGGTCGGTTTTTAAAACATTGGAACCTGCCCAAGTTGCACCCCTATTAAAAGTATCAACATTTTTGAGTATAGAGGGTGTAATCACTTCATTACTTCAATACTCATATTTTGTTTTACTTTTTTTGGTCTGATAATTTGTAGAGATGTATGTTGTTGTTCTTCTTCTTCTTAGGGTTATTTTTAGGTTTAGTTTTAGTCCATGGTTCAAGACCCAAATAGCTAAGATCAGCATTGGGTAATGTCTCTTTATAGGGCTCCCCGAAGATGATATCAATGTTTTTTTTTCTTTTTTTCTTCTTGTATTTTTAAACATTGAAAAGTAGATTTGAGAATCATATTGAAGAATAGTTTTTTTTTTGTTTTTTTTTTTTTTGGTAGAAAAGAATAGGGATTTGAAGAAAGAGATGGTTGTTGTATAGGCATGGGTCTATTAAATTAAAAGTGATTTAAAAAATATCAAATTTTCAAAGGTGTTAGGGGTGAGCAAAGAAACCGAAAAACTGAACCGACCAAAACCGAATCAAAAAATTGGTTAAATGAACTGATCGGTTCGGTGTTTTTAAAAAACTAAAGGTATTGGTCCGGTTTCGGTTAACCAATATAAAAAACCGGCAGTTAACCAAACTGACCGGTATACATGTTTTTCTATATTATATATATATTTTAAATTAATAAATATGCATTATATATATAAATGTAAATATATATTTATAATTTTTTATTATATATTTATAATAAATATTATAAAAACTAAAAAAAACAAACAAACTGAACCAACGATTAACCGAACCAGTCAACCGATTAACCGACTGGTTTTGGTTCAGTTCTGGTTACTGGTTTTCCAAAAACCAGTACTACCAATTCGGTTCACAAAAAAGGCCCACGGTTTGGTTACCCGAACTGTGAGCACCCCTACTAGGTGTCAATTCACACCCAAAAACACACTTGTTAGGTATTGGATTTTCCCGATTGCTCATTTGGGTAGTTTGAAATTGAGTCAATCATGACACGGTTTCATCATCTCCACCTATAACTAAAGTCTTAGAAAAGGTTTTGGGGGGCAGCAAAGGATCCCCAAAGTATAATGTGGGCCAAGGTTTTTAAAATCGAATTGGACAATGAACCGATCAGTGGTCCAATTCCCAGGCCGAACGGTCCGACTATTCGAAGCGAACGGATGGCCCTTTTTAACAAAAAATAAAAAATAAAAAACAACCAAAACCGTTGGACGATTCGAATACCCGGTCAGCAGTTTGATAACCAAATCAACAGTTTTGACAAAATAACGATTCTGAGATAAAATGAAACCGGTCATCGGTTTTTCTAGTCTGACCGTCCAGTCCGGTCTGTTTTTGAAAAGTGAAAACCATGATGTGGGCGGATCCGCCCCAGGGCATAAGTTGAGAGATGACATTATCAAGGATAAAAACTGTCAAAAAACATCTCAATGGATATTGAATAACAATCCATAGGCTGGCAATTAAAAGCTTTTGGCAGCGGGAGTCATCTTTTAGGGTCTCTGTAATCCTGACCCTAAACAGTCCCATCTCGTACCAAAAGAACCAAATAACCAACCATACAAATTGCTCAATGACAAGAAATGTAGTAACAATGACTAAATGTACTTGAACCAATTAATATAATAATAAGAATACGAAAAGATATGCCATGTACACACTCAAATACAATAATTTCTACAAATCACATCTAAACTGTTTCCGATTGTTTCAGCTACCAGAGGAAAAAAAAAAAAACAGAAAGAAAAGAAAACAAACATGCATAAGAAAACCTCACTTTGTAGTCAAGTTGCCATACTGCCAGGGGTTGAACTCAATTGATCTGACATCAACTTCCTCAATACCGTCTGAGCTATCTGAAGCAGCCCGATGTTGTGTGTATTTTCCATTGTATTGGTACACTTCTAAGTCACCCCATGGTGTAGGGGTCACTTCACCTGTCATGTCAAACCATCGTGGAGTAAACTGATGACCATTTGCTTCTCTGTTTCTCTTTTCGGCTCTCTGTCTCTCCTCCAGACTGAAATAAATATAGGTATGTGAGAAGACAGCCATAATCTGTATGACTTAATTGTTAAGACAAAAATACACATTTGGAACATCCTAGCCTTGGTTCAATCAAACTCTAGTCATTAAGTAACTTCTAAAATTAAAATATTCAAACTCTAAATGGAATGGCTAATCTTGGTTGTTAAAAACACCAATACAAGGTGGGACTTATTACTGATGAACAGGAGGAATAGTCTAGACTGGCTGCAGGGTTCCTCCACATGGCAGAAATGGGAAAGTTTGTGTAGGAAACTGCCTACCTGGACAAATTAGGAAAACCCTTTTCCACACAGATACAGATGAGCAACAGAACAGGAGGCCTTTCACATACTCCGTGGACTAGATACTTCTCAATGACTTGTGAAATAGTGTGTGCATGTGCACGTGTGTGTGTGAGAGAGAGAGAGACAGACAGACAGACAGACGGACCTGCTCTTTTCAGAACCAGCTTTGGATAGATCACCCTTTTCAAGTGCATATCTATCAGGACGTAAACGAGAATCTGATGCCAACAATTTCTTAGGTGCTGTGTCAAAGCTGTTTATTTTATGTGCAAAATACGTATACTGGAACTTATCATCCTTTGGAACATCGGCAACTCTCCAGACCTGTTAAACAGCATCAATACAATAGGTGGAAATTAGTGCAGTATATAAATGAACGCTTTGATACTTCAACTTCCAGAAAAGAATGAAAATAAAGCTAAGTTAGCTAACAGGAGAAAAATTAAAGTGCACAATATTATCAGAATGACCCATCCACGGGACCATACAAGGAACACCTAGAACATCACCATTGTCTTCTGATGCTAAAGATAATACCTTCTTTGCATAACCTGAACGTAGGTAGCAGAGAGATGAGAGGTAATTGCCCATAACATGTAAATCTGGTTCATATTTCAATTAATATGGACATGAATGGGCTGGCTAATTACTAAATAGAGTTCCACCATGGCACCATCCTCTAAGAAACACCCTATGGAAATAAGGATATATGAATTTAAGGGGTAATGGTAGGAAATCTATTCTATGACTGATAGATTGTGTCTTATTCACCAGAAATTGCACCCAGAAATAAAATCAAGTACAGAACAAATTTTGGAACCATTCTGGGATTCTTGAATTCAATTCAATCAGGTTTGCCAACAGGACCGTGCAGGGAGCTTCATCAGAAAGGATGATCATTAAATCAGGGAAGTTTTTGTAAATCATCTAAAACCAAGGTACAGTTTCTTCTTGCAACCACATGGCATTTTTCATTGCCCAGGATCATATGCATGGTATTTTCCGATCACTGTATGTTTATTTGTCCATAGGAACTCATCATCATCCAAGCCTTGTCCCAACTATACGAGGTTGGCTACACGAATCCTGTTTTGTTATTTTGTTCTATTCAGTCGCATATCCATGGTTATATTATCTCATTTCTTGTTACTTCCACCCAAGTCCTTTTCAGTCCACCCCAAGCCCTTCTAGCCATCCGGTTTGTCCATAGGAACTAAATTACATAATCTATCCTGGTCAACACCACCAAACTCATTAGAAGACAAGTCTTTATTTTCTTTCCAGGCAGAAGACAAGTCATGTTATGAATATCCACAACAAGAGGTATGAAGGACTTTGTCATGTCATTTTTTTTCCATCCTCACGTGAAGTGATTCCCAAATATGCCTTTGCATCAGTAGAAATCACTATTTGCTGATTCAGTCAAGCTTCTTGTGAGAGAAAGAGGRGGAAGGTGAAGATTTCAGCAGTAGAGAAGGAAGGAGAAGAAGAAAAGAGTAGGAGGTCAACTAGAGTTATGAGAAAATTAACCCTAGCTGCCAGCCCCTCATTATATTTATATTTAACTTAAAGATGAGATATTACAAGGATGCCCTTAGTAGGGCGGCTACTAAAACTGAATAGTCACAACTTTAAAAAATAAAAAACTCAACAACTTCCTAATTAAATAAAAACAAACTAAAGACAAACCGGGCCACTCAACAAAACAAACCGGCCCACTCAACAACATCCATCTGCTCCCAATCGTCATTCAAATATGCCTGTGCACATAGTTGTTGGTAGGGATGCAAATGGATCAGATCATACTCAAATTGGGGTATATCCGAATCCGATAGAAAATGCATATGATTCAAATGCAAATTCAAATTCAAATTCAAATCCATCGGATCATTTTATCGAATATCCAATATCCAATAAGGATCCAATTCAACACACACAGATCCTATTTTGTGATTCAATCCGATCCGAAAAATCAGGCAGGGGGTATCCAAATCCAATAAAATAGGATCGGATCATAATCTAATCTGTTTGAATCCCTATGCCAAGGTGCCTAGGCAATTCTAGGAAATAGTGGAGCCTTAGGTGGGTAGGTGGCTGGTTGTTAGAGTTTTACAACAAAAAACTAAATTCTAGACTGGTTCTCTAATTTTACATAACAATCAGCATGCATGCAAATAGACAAAAACAGCAATACTCTTTAGTAATAACATTAAGGGAAAATTCCCTATTAGTACCCTGTACTTTGGGCCTGTGCCACTTCGGCCCCCGAAAGTACAGGGGTGTTTTAAAAGTTTGGGTACTGAATTGTCGCATTTTAAAGTTCAGGGACCAAAGTGGCACTAGGCCCAAAGTACAGGGTACTAACTGGGAATTTTCCCTAACATTAATTTTAGGGTCACTAAAACACCCCCTGTAGTTTAATAAAATTACTAAAACCTACCCTATGGTTTGTGTTTTACTAAAACACCCCCTATAGTTCGCAACCAATTTACTTAATTGAGACCTTCCATTAAACTGAAGTGGAAAATGACAGTTTTGACCTTAGTGTCTGTTGGGACCAATTTAGTCTACAGAAAATATAAATGGAAATGTCATTTTTGCCCCTAGTGAAACATCGGCAACAACTCTTTTCATCAATTTTATTCTCTATTTGAAGAAGACATGCTGTTGCAAACTAATAACATGGGATGCACTGTTCTCTCTTCTTCATTTTGGAGAAACCAAACATTGTATGGTAGATCTGAAAATCAAACATTGGTTGATTTTAAAACCTCAATATGAAGTGCTAGCAGTACTTTCAGAATAAAATACCATAGGCCCATGCCCTTAAACATTTTCAACTCAGTATAGGTTGTCAAGTTACCATTTTCAGACAGTAATATAAAAGATTCTTGACAGAAGGTCAATTAAGTAAATAGGTTGCAAACTATAGGAGGAGTTTTACATAAGCGTAAACTATAGAATAGGTTTTAGTAAATATGTTAAACTATGGGGGTGCTTAAGTAAATGACCCTTAATTGTATTCTCAAAACATCGCACTATTACATGCAAGTATTTCATTGAGCAATTGTATGTTAAAACAATTATTATCAACTAAGGAAGACTAAAATTTTATACTAATAAAAATTTTGCAAGCGATCAAGAGAGAGAGAGAGAATAAGAACAAGGAGTTGAGTCCTTTTTCTATTGAATGTAAGAGAGATGGAGAGAGAGCGATTGTAGAAAAAAAACGGTGAGGCACAAGGAGTTGGGACATTTTTCTTAAAACCGGTGTTTTAAAGGCGCAAGGCGTTTTAGTGCCCAAGGCAAGGCGCACACCTTTTCGAAGTGAGGTGCAAATTTTTTAAATTTGTCAAAAAAAATGAAAAATGCAAAAAAAATATTAAAAATAGTATTAGCTCAAATTAAAATACGCAAACATAACATACAAAACATATTCAAAGTGAAAATGTAAAAATAAAATTAAACATAACATATAAAACACATTCAAACCTCTCTATATGTCAAGGTTTTAAAAACCGACCCGGAAAGGAACCGCTCTGGCCACCGGTTTCTGGATCAACAATTCAACTGCCCGGGTCAAATGGTTCAAACGGTTTAAACACTTTTATGTCTTTAACAAATGATACATCATCTTACCCATTAGGTTGGAATATTAGGGTAAGATACATACAAATATCATAAGAAAAAATGTTTGAGAATGAGAGTGAGGTTTGAGAAGCTGTCAACTGAGAGAGTTTAGAAAAGAAAGAAGACTGAGAGGAGGAGGAGCTCACTTGCAGGCCGCAACGGCAAGAACGAACTACAGCGGCAACAACACAATGTAAGTAGATCTGATCTCTCTCTCTCTCGTCTAGATTGGTCTGGTGTTTTAAAAGGCGTGGGAGGCGTACACCTGGAGGCGGACCTCCAGGCAAGGCGCTCCCAAAACGCCCTGAGGCGTATGCTAGAGGCGCTGATACCTCTGAGGCGTACGCCTCAGGTGCAAGAGGCGTACGCCTCAGGTGCAAGAGGCGTATGCCTCTTGCACTTTTTTTCATGAGGCATTCTAGAGGCATACGCCTCTTGCGCCTCGTGCACACCTGATATGAAAATACAGGAAAAAGAAAAAAGAAAAAAGAAAAAAGAAAAAAAGGAAAGGAAAGGAAAGGAAAGGAAAGGAAAGGAAAGGAAAGGAAAGGAAAGGAAAGGAAAGGAAAGGGAAAGGAAAGGAAAGGAAAAGAAAAGAAAAGAAAGGGAAAGAAAAGGAAAAGAAAGAGAAGAAAAAAAGAGAAAAGGAAAGAAAATAAAAGGAAAGGGAAAAGAAGGGAAGAAAAGAAAATGGTTTGCCCCCTGCCCCTTCGGCTGGGGGGGCTTCGCCCCCCCAGACCCCGCCCCCTTTTTGATGCAGCCCAATTTGGTTTTCTGAGTTAGGGGGGTCTTGCTCCGCTTCGCTCGCTCGCCTTCGCTTCAACAAGACCCCCCCTTTAAACTACTGTTATGCATCTTTATTCTTCTTAATATAAAAGATTTTTATTAAAAATAAAGAAAAAATGAGATCCCCCCTTCCACTTCATCCTCCTCTTAAGAAGGCTTACGCCTCCTTGTGTTCGGGAGGCTTACGCCTCTTGCGTTCTGAATTACGCCTCACACCTCTAGGTAGTGGAACGCCTCGCGTCACGCCTCCACGCTTTAAAACATTAGATTGGTCTCCCACATCTCCAAACCTGAGATCTCTCAGATCTCTCTCATATATATCTCTTGACTGATCTCTCTCTCTATTAGATCTCTGATCTGAGAGATCTGGAGTTCTGAACTTCTCTTTTCATTCTTGTTCTGTCATAAGTAATAAACCGCAAACCATTGTCTGGGTCGAACAGTTCAGTGGTCAAACTGTCCGGGTCAATGGTTTGTTGACCAATTCAACGGTTTTTGGCCAGGGACCGGGTTTGGGGTAAAACGGAACCAATCGCCAGAACGGCTCCCAGTCCGACCGTCTGGGTCAATGGCAGTTTGAAAACATCGCTATATGTACAGGGGTAAGGCTACGTACATCTGTCCCTCCGCAGACCCCGCATTGGCAGGAACCTCATGCATTCGGCTGCCCTTTATATAAAACACATTCAAGCACTGAACAATTCAAGCATGTGAAACTTTTAATCTCTTTATTTCTTTTTAACTGCATTACTCTAATTTTACAAGCTGTTTTGTACCGAGCCCCTTGAAGCAAGCGGCAAGCCCAAACATGTCCATGCTAGATGGGTGTCTAGCGGCTCTAGCCTCCAAGATTAGCAAGACAAAGTGTGTGTGTGTCCCTTTTTCAAGCGGTGCAGACTTTTTAGATATATATACATATATATAAATGGTAATACATAAAAAATGCAAACTGGAACTTTAAAACAAATTAGATGTTCTATAAAGCCCATTGGTTCAAAGTAATACATAAGCAAAACATGTAAAATGCGTTCAAAGTGAAAACATGGAAGTTAAGCAAATAAAAGTAGATCACATCAAAGTGCTCCAAGCACTCAACAATTCAAGCATTTAAAACTTCCAATGTATTTATTTATTTCTTAGTTGCATTACTTAAAATAACTAGTGTGATGTTAAACAGCTTGCATTCCTGATCCTAGGAGATTTGCTTTCCGCCTCCATAGAGGCTCCTTGAGGCAAGCCCAAATAAGTCAATGTGTTGGGGTTTAGGCCTTTGGGGTAGCATCCCTGACATAAACTCTTGGCTGGTATATATGATGGGGTTGGTTTTGTTATTTTAGTCACAGCTCATTTTATTTTAGGATTCAAGATCAAATACTGATTGTATAGTTGTTGCTTCTTTGGTTGAAAGTTTTGCTATTTAAGATCCTAATTCCAAGGAATGAGGTTTCAAGTATTTAAAAGGTCTTTGTTTTTGTTTATCTTAAAAGTTAAGAGACCATTAGTAGTATGAAATCAGCAACATATGATAATTTAGAAGTTGATAAACCATTTGCAAAGGTGTAAAGCACATTAGGATCTAAAAGAAGGCATATGGCTGCACTTAGGTTTGGGCAAGGTGCATGCCTTAAAATGTGCCTTGCCTATGTATCTAGGTGTGCCTGAGACACTTTTATGACACTGTTCATGGTAGTTAAGGTAACATTCCACTAGATGGTGGAAATGCCAGTCATTTGAGAATGGAAATATTTTAGAACTTCATTGTCAAATAGGAAACACCAGTCATTTGAAACCAATGTCTATCAAGAATTCATGATAAACTAAATACTTCTCTTGAATCATATTACCATAACAGGTTGCACTTTACAAACAAATAAAAGGCGTAAACATTTCTCGTGTTTTAGAAACAACAAAACACAAGGACTATGGCATGAAATGTCATACTGCTAAACCAGGAAAGTTGAATCAGGAATACTTGACTTAATATATTAATAGTTTATGATAACTCAACTCAACTAATCCTTGCCCTAACTATAAGGGGTTGACTACATGAAAATATATAATTAATGAAACCTAAATAAGATAAAACGTTGGTAGCATATCATTACTATGACATAGATAAGAAAAAAAATAAAAATGTGATGCCATAATCTATGATACCCAGATACTTGTGCATGGTTGTCATATCATATTGGCTACTTCAACTTTTAGTGTAAGTTTCATACCCAAGACCTTGTGCATCCATGTCTTCACTGTATCTGGGTAACTTGAGCCAAAACAGTTTCTTTTTTATAAATGAATAGATTTTATTGACAGAGATTAAAGCAGTAACTTGAGCCAAAACAGTTATACTATGTAAAAATAAAAATGTGATGCCAGAATCTATGATACCCAGATACTTGTGCATGGTTGCCATATATTGGCTACTTCATCTTTTAGTGTAAGTTGCATACCCAAGACCTTGTCCATCCATGTCCTCACTGTATCTGGGTAACTTGAGCCAAAAGAGTTTTTTTTATAAATGAATAGATTTTATTGACCAGAGATTAAAGCGGTAACTTGAGCCAAAACAGTTATACTATGTAAATGCCCCAGAAAGGTAGAGTAGAAAACAGTTAAGGAATTGAGGAATACCTCTTTGAGTTCAGTGCCAGAAAGGGGCTCTCCTTCCATATCACATGGTTGATAACTCAATGACTCATTCCATTTCCCAGTCATCAATATTTTAGGTTCCTCAGCAGCATTATATACATACCCATCCACTTCATAACGACCAGCCCTGCAATCAATTGCAGCTTCTAATAAGACAATTCATATAGGGAAAATGTAAAAGTAAAACAAGAGAACATCTAGTAAAGAACTATAGTGCAGAAGTTTGAAAAATCAAAGCCACACATTTAGCAAAATTTTCTACGCCAACCAGCAATATCTGGGCAAATATGGTGATATCATAATGTAAATGATCAATGGCTACATGCAGCTAAAATATATTAAAATATTGCAATAAAGTTGTAACTCAGAAAGCCCATCAACATGTGGAAATCTATACAGACATACCCAAACCAGCCGCATGGCTGAAAGTATAGTACAATTTTGTCACCAGTTGTCAAGTTCGTCATGATCATCTCCCCAAGTGAATCAACCCAGGTCCTTCCAAATATAAGGTTATTAACTTTGGTGGGAGGGGGAACCAGATCTAGGACAACACCATCTCTTTTAAGAGTCACTCTTGTCCTGCAATAGCAAACAAACATAGAGAACCCTTTGATTTCTAAGATAATGTAAAGACAGAACTGAACAAATACCCGTTGCAATAATAACTATGGAGAGGTTGACCCTATATCACAGATTTGAAGAAAACACATAGGAATTCCAGATCCAGGAAAGCCAAAATGATCAAAGATCTTAACTTCAGAGTTAAACTTTTACTTGTTAACATATTAGTGCATCCAGGATAGGAGATTCAGATCCATGCAAGTAAAATAACGCTCAAAGAAGCAAATCTTTTTTTGATCAGTCCAAGACAGCAGAGCTTTAGTCCAAAATTGATAGAATATGGAAATTGATTTTGTTCTTTTGGCTGTGTTTGGTAAGAACACAAACACTGAACCAAAGCGAATTTGTAATCCAGTTCAGTTTTGCGGGCATTTGGTAAGAACACGTTTTTGTACTGAATACGACAGCAAATTTGTTTTTTCTGAAACGTATGCATTCAAAATGAGAGATGCAAACTTTGCACTCAAAGTTGGTCAATGTACAAAAGGAAAATTCCAGTCTTGGAATTTGTCTGTACCCATCACAACCAAATACGTTTGGCAAAATTACAAAATCTGCTTAACTTTTTAACCAAAAAATACAAAATTTATCAATGCAAAACCAAACCAACTTTGCATTTTCATGATCCGTACATATTTGCATTTCCACTATTACCAAAAGTAGCCTTTGTAATTATATAAATGCATCACTAGGCGACTATATCCAGGATATTAGGCACCTCTTAGTGGCCTCACTCAATAAAGATGCAGGAAGCCACAAACGGCCAAAACTCATGTCTTATTAACTTTATAGTGAACAACCACTTTGACATGGAATTCAACCCTTATGCATGTCTCTATATGCACATGTACATTATTCTTTTTGTTTTGTTTTTTTCTTGGGGGTGCATGGTACGTTTTTGCAGGCATGGGTGTCTTTCATATTGACAAGCACAAATTTCAATGTATTAAGATATTCATAATAGGGATTTTATATTAAAATCAAGCAAATTACAAAATGCTCTAGTATTAGATTCCAACAAACTTTTTTCGAGGAAATATACGATAAAATTTATTTATAAAAAACAAAAAAAAATACAAGAAGTATAAGAAGGAGCTACTGAGAACTATCTCAGCTGCCAAACACAAATGGAGAAAGTAGATTCCAACAAAATTTAGCAAATAGTATTCAACACAGATGTGGTTGCCAAGAATAGAGAAAGTAGAAATAAATATCACAGAATACCTTCCAATAGGATAGACATCAACTGAATTTCCTAAAAATTTGGTCTTCAACTTTGAAGTAATATCATAGATAAAATGTTCATTTTCAGCATGTCCAGCACTCATTGGGGGGTGGTGACTCACCTGAAATTGAAAAGAATATTAATAAACTAAAGTGGACTATTGCATGTAAAACAAAAACCAGAAAACATTGTTAAGATGTTGATGATAAAACATCAACTATAGCAAATGATTTGGCTGGTCCAAAAGTGCATGCAAAAGACGAGAAAAGGTGCCTTTTTAACAACCAATAATGCATGAAAAGAACACCAACAGCTGAAAAGGATCCAAAAATTAAAGGGGAATAAAAGAAACAAGAAAAAAAAAACTAGAAATATCATAATCCTGAACAACTAACCTGCTCTGCAATGAATGTAATCCCACCATGATTGGCCATTTCATATGTCTCACCAAGTATGGGATTAAAAGGCTTCCAAGTTCGTTGGTAAGCATAGTAGACAGATATTGCCCATGATGCTGCAAAAGATAAACATAACTACATCATACCAGAAAAAAACTTTGCATGTCTCATAAACATTTGGAGCCAAAAAAAATCACTTACAAGCATATACCAGCCGCAAGTAAGGGTCTTCACATCCATCTGCCTGATCTAACAAGTAGGAGTACTCCATTAACTGCAACAAGTACCATTTAAACTTGTAATGTTTCATATAGAAAACAGAAGCAGATATGTTAGTGAATAGGAATTTGTTTCCAAAACAAGCTCCACAAACCTCAGCCATTCTCTGAAGCATAGTCATTGGCTCAAAAATGAGGACTGGAAGTGACACCATTGATGTAACATCTGAACCAATATACTTGTGCATCATCTTCCAGTAACTGTCTCTTTCCTGCAAGAAAAGAGGGGGAAGATCAGAATAAAATTACATAGGACATAATAAAAGGTGCAGAAGCAAAAGTTCATTTTTACTTTTTCACAAATGAACAAGTTAGCATATGGTTAATAAGGCTTATCTATAATACGTAGTTAGGTACATAGCTATGACCCATTTTCCTGGGCAGATGTGATACCATCCTTTGAAACCCAAGTCACCAGTGAATGGAGCAGGAAAGCTTGCAGGTACAGGAATAGGAGTGTCAAAGAATCAAATTCAAAAACCAACTTTTGGAGTGCCTAGTGGTGTACACATATACACATGCACAAGCATGTGTGTGGAGACATTGAGAGACAAGGTGGGAGTGAGTGGACGGAAAGAGAGTGATCTGGGTATGTTTGGTCAAAGTCATGTTTATTAAGGAAAGTTGAGTGAAACAAGGTGCTTTAACAGATAAAAATACCAATTTTTTTAGAGAAAAGAGAAAAGCAAGTGTAGGTAATACAATCCATTAATCCCCCTTTTTCTTTCTCTATTTTTAGGTAATACAATTCATTTAACATGCCTAAAGGGAGAAGAGGAGGTGTTTAACGAGGGCTCATTCAAAGAGAATAAAAACTAAAAGGTAAACCAAAACCCAATTTTTATGCCCAAATGCATACAATACATTAGAAATCCCCATCCCAGACTTTTGAGAAAATTTTCACTCCATAACCACGGATACATGCTTTAAAACTAGAAGTTTCACTCCTTTGTCATAGTTTTTTCTTATGAATTCCTTTGTCATGGTTATGGGGACTAGTATAGGACTTCATAGTATAAGATAATATTAAGAGAACTAGTACATTAAATATTATTATTTTCTTTAAAAAGTAGAAAAAAGCTTTACCACAAACCAAGAATATAATCAATTACAAAAGATAAAACCTGAAATAGAAAGAGGAACATGCAAAAATAGAACAGCTGCAGAAAACTAAAAGTAATAAAAGAATAAAGCACCTCCTTCTTCCATCTTCCTCGCTGAGCTTCCTCCTCTGCATCTTCTTTGCCTCCCTCTGGATTTATAACTTCCAGTCCATCATAACCTAGCAACCTAGAGAGAGAGAGAGAGAGAGAGAGAAGGAAGCAGGCCAAATTTAGTCTGAGTAAGGAGCATTTTAAATGATTGATAGGCTATTAAATAATACACAACTTTACCATACATAGGCATAGAGTAGAAGTCCTAGCCTAAAATGGTTGATCTCTTTAATATGGGAAGAAAATATATGACAAAGTGGGACCTAAAGCACAGTGCCTAATTACGATATATAGAAACAAATAACCAATCAAATAAGCAATATAACAAAACATGTAAAGGCATTTTCAGCACTCACATAATGTTAAGGTGTCATTTAGATAATCAAGATATAACATTAAAAAAATGGTTATTTTCATTGTAAGACAAGTAAAGGTACTATTAACATAGGCACAGAATATAAGTCCTAACCTAAAATGATTGATCACTCCAATATATGGAGAGAAAATATATGACAAAGTGGGGCATAAAGCACAATGCCTAATTATGAATTTATGATGACTAGAACAAATCAATTAATCAATATGACAAAATAGTAAACCATGTAAAGGCATTATCAGCACTCACATAACATTAAGGTGACATTTAGATAATCAAGATGGAACATAAAAAGCAGTTATTTTCATTGTAAAATAAGTAAGGGTGCTATTAACATCATAATGAAATGAGGAACCCATTATTTTTAATTCAATAGCTCAGTGATCAGAGCTATGGATATAGAGTGCCACTCTCACCATAGAGTAAAAATGGTTCAGCATAGAGTAAAAATCATCTTTGACCAGTTCTCCCAAAATAAAGGAAGATGGTTTTTATCTAAAATCCATGCTCTGTGTTATCTTTGCTCCTCATAAGTCCATAGCTTAGTGCACAAAACCTTAGAATTGGAGTACAACTCCCACTCTAAATATATGGTCCAGCATCCAGAGAGAGAAATTGGTTTTGCCTATAATCCCAAATCTAAAGGGAGAAAGTAGTATTCCATATCCATACTTTCCTGTGAAACTGTTCAGAAGCATGTAATAGTACACCTCAGAAGCTTTATTGTCTATGGCATATTACCATATCTTGCTCCAAATGCTCTATCTTTTATCTTTAAATGATACATTCCTCTCTCTCAGATGGCAGCTTTCCAATATAGCCCAGTTTAGTCAACTCAACTCAAAAGCAGAACCACCTACATGAATCCTGTTTCATTACTTCTATCCATCACAAGCCATATTCTCTGTCAAGACGTGAGACACCAAGTCCTAAGAATTTTTTTTTATCTGTCAAGTCCTCAGATCTTCACTCACTACCCCCATGGATCCACCAATTTCCTTTGGACCTCCTATAGTTCTTCTAGTAGGGCTACTTCAAAGTTCCCAGCCCACATTCATTTTCTAATTTAATTTTGGTCTTGACATCCATCCATATCAACATCCAAATTCCACATTATCTTTGAAAAAACAAAGAAATCACACAATACTATTCTCTTCCTCAAGTTTTAAGTTATATTTACATTGTGTGACCCCACTTCTAGCCCTACTACCATACTATGCTCAAGGTGATTCTGAGCGATAGTGGCGCACCTAGTTGATGAGAATTTTATAAAATAAATAAATAACTTTTTGGCTAGTTCTTTAGCTTTAAATACCATTTCAGCATACATATTAATTGAAAAAATAGCAATCATCTTTATTAAGAACATTAAATTTCCGCTCAAAATGTGGCAAATCATCATATCTAAAAGATAAGCACATTTTAAATATATTAATTTTAATATTTTTCAAAAATAATTACTAATGATAGTATTTAATAGAGCAATTTCATATCAATTAGAAACTAAAGAAGACTATAATTTTATATGATAAAAATTTAAAAGAGAAAAGAAAAAAAAGGATGAAGCTGTTGTTTTATTTAATATCAGGGAGAGAAAGAGAATAGAAAAAACAAAGAAAAGAAACCTCTATGTTTCTATTCTTTCTTCATTTTTCATTTCTCAAAACCCTTTGGTCTCTTATATTTCAATAGTAAAATTTCAAAACAAAGTATAAATGATATATTTAATATATAATAGAATGTTTTAACAGAAATATTAATAAGAAAAAGCAATAGGGTAAGAAATGAAGTCATTGAAAGAACATAGGAGTAGCTCCAATAGGTGATAAAGTGAGAGATTGGACTAAGATGGTTTGGTCACATGCATAGAAGACCACCAACAGTGCCCGTAAGAAGAATTGATCTGTTGCAAGTTGAAGGGGCTAGAAGGGCTAGGGATGGACCAAAAAGGACTTGGGTCAAAGTAGTTAGAACTTAGAAATGATTTAAGTGCTCATAATTTAACAATGGATATGGCATTAACAGCGGAATGGCAAAACAGGATTCATTTTTCCAACCCCATGTAGTTGGGATAAGGCTTGGGTGATGGTGATGGTGATGATGATGATGATGATGATGAGGCGGCAGGTGCCTTATTGCCTATGCAGGAACCTAGTCACCTAGACAGGCGTCTTGTTGCTATAAGTGAAGGCGTTAACGAGGCACCCAACCAAGGATGCCCAGTCACCTAGGCGATGCCTTGACAACTATGATTTTACGCCCAGTTCCAAGTTGTAGAATTACGGGTTTGCATTTGCAATAATCTACTGGATTCAGTAGACTGACTGAGAAACTTAAAATAATTGTACCCGATATCCCAGTGTAGCTAAGAAGCACAGTCAACCTTGACTATCTTCATAGTAAATTTGACAATTTGAACCAGCTTCGAGTTAACCATCAGAAATTTCTAGCAAGCTTTGTTTACCCAAATTCCACTATCCAAAGAAGATCTGACTTGAACTATTTCAGGGAGAGCCAACCTAAAATTCCAATTACAGAAAAGCAAGTGATCATATTCTACAAGATAAAGGAGAAAAGCACACATATATCAACAAAATTCCTAATCCAGGATTCCTCTAAAAAAATAAAGACATAGTTCCACTTCACCAACTGAAGATCAATTTTTTCTAAAAAAAATAATAAATAAAATTAGGGTTCTATACGATGAAAATGAACACGTTAAACCTAGAGTAAAACCGCAAAAGGCAAAGACACAAGGATCGAAACTGACGCTCTGCATACCGCCATACCCGTTAACAGATTTGTGCATTGCACTGCCAAAATTAGACAAGCTAGAAGCGATCGACGAGAAAAAACCACCACCTTGCTTCTGATCCTTGGAAGCCATCTCGTAAAACCTAACTCGAATTCTGCCTAAATCAGAAAATCTATGAAGGATAAAATGATCTGTCAACTATGCAGAACTTCAGAGAAATTCAATCCTCCTCGATGAAATCGCTGTAGAGGAAGCCAAGCCCCGATTGATCGAACCTCGAATTAAAGCGTTCGAAGTGTAACCACGGAACAAATTAAGTGAGAAGAAGCTAACACTGGTATTATTAGTAGTATTAAATTGGTAAAGGAGGAGTGCGGAGGGAGGGATTACAAAGAACAGCGAAGATGGGAGTTGGAACTCGTTGGCGGTTCGGCTGTTTGAAGCCAAAATGAAAAAGATCGGATATATTCTCTACAAAAATTAATTAATTTAATACACCATGAGTCATGACCATGAGAGACGAGACAGAGGTGAAAACAAAAAGGAGTGCGCCCCTCCCAAAGACTTTTCGAGTGTTACACTTCGACTGCAGGATTCGCTGTAAATACAAAATTGCCCCTCCTACAACTTTCCCAAAATATATCCAAAATAATTATTTCAAAAATAAAATATTATCCAAAATTAAAGTGAGAAAGTGAGACCGTGAGAGAATGAAATCGTGGGTTTATTAGATTCCGTTTGTTTGTAATACAAGGGTATTTATGTATTGTGGTTCGCGTTTGTTTGTAATACCTTTGTTTTACAGTAAAAAAGTAATGATTATCACAAGAATTATTATACCTATTTTTTTGACATTTTTGTATTTAAAAAAATGAGTATTATTATACCTATATTTTGGATACAAATTTGTATTATTTTTTTTTATAATCAAATTTTTAACTAAATTTAAGGCATTGGAACATAAGGTAGGTGGATCATTTAGGTTATATTTGGTTTGAAGGAAAAGGTAAGGAAAGGAAGAAAAAGATAGGGAATCATATATAAGATTGGTAAAGCTTTCCTTGTCTTTTCATTCTTTTCTCTACTTTTTTCTTCAAACCAAATACAACCTTAATGATGGGATTCACACTTTGCACCGATTTTAAACAAATAATATGAGTGCTAAAACGATTTAAAATCTGAACCATATTTACATTCATGAACCGAAAAAGAAGATAAATATGCAATATACATATTTGCGTTTGCATTGTAATCAAAGGCAGCCTTAGTTTTATTTAACCTAAAATCCATTTTTTCAGATTGTAATTAATAATATATTTTATAAATATTTATTTTTCATGAGAAATATTTTGCTGGATAAAACATTTCCTACTATCCAAATGCAACCCACGACTCAAGACAGCTAAATTCATGGCTGTGTTAATATTAAAAGTTAAATTCTCTAAGCAGAGTGTGTAGGCCCAATATATAGAAGGTTGGAATATCATCCAAAAGCAAGTTTTCTATTTTTATTTTTTAGATAGAAATGATTGTGTATAAAAAGATGGGATGGTCAATTAATAGGAAGGTAGCTCCTGAAAATTGGGGATATATGGTAACGGGTATGCCATGTGGCCAGAGCTCTTTGTCCACCTTAAACAGCAACTACTGATGCTTACGCAGATGCTCTCATCTTCAAATTCCACAATCAATTGATTTTGGATTGTTCAAACTTCAAAATGGTGGTTGAACTGAATGTAGTTTGTTGCTTTGTTTATAAGATTAATTAAACATATGGAATATTTGAAGATGTAGTAATTAGTAATCAAATTCAACCTCAAGCCTTCAACTTCAGCCATGGTCTGTCAAATATGAAATGCCTCCTTGGTTATTATAACTGATTTAAGATTTCATATTTAAGGGGTGTTTTACAAGATGATTTTTTTTTTGGCAGTTTCAAAAATAAATCAAAATCATCATGTTTTAAAATAGATTGTTTCTTAAAACAAAACACAAAAAACAGGTATTTGGTTCTTTGTTTTTTTCTGTTTTCAAAACTGAGACCCAAAACATGTTCTTGGATTTGGTTTAGTAAAACATGTTTTCATCTGATTATTCAATCTCATGTCCATAAATTATATAATTTTTATATTAAAAAATTTGTTTTTGTTTTAAAAACCAATAGTTTGTTGGTTCCAAAAAATATGTAAGTTTTTTAAACAAACCAACCTATTTTTCCCTTTGAAAACAAAAAATATAGTTCAAGAACATGTTTTTATTTTATTTTTTTCCGCTGATATGGCAATATGCAAAAACAAATGAAACAAAAAACATTTATATTGCAGAACACCCCCTTAGATTAAATGAGAATCCATGCCAAACCCAATCATAAAATAAATTGAACATCACTTATTGCCAAGTGTTTTTGCAAGCCTAAAATTTATCTCACACATCTAGGTAGTGTTTTCCAACATAAATGATTCTCATTTAAGTGATTTATATGATCATAGTCATTCAGAATCATTAAAAACCCATTCATTTGAAACGAACTTGATGTTTTGGAAATGGGTAAATTACAAATAAATACCCTATACTTTGAGAGTAGTGACAAATAGTTATATTGAAATTTCAATTGCTACACTTGAGTACCCTGAACTCTTAAAAATAGACACTTAGGTCCATCCATTAGTATTCTGTCAATTAAATATTACATAATTTCAAAAACACCCTTCTCATGTATTTCTGATATCATCCTCACGATGACGTTCTCACATGGACAACAAATAATATATTCAATTTTTTGGAAACAACATTCTCTGGTGATGATTTTACCCCGTATAATGATTTATAAAAGACACGAGAAGGGAATTTTTTATATTATGTAATGTTTAATTGATGGAATGTTAATGGATGGACCCAAGTGTCTATTTTTGAAAGTTCAAGATACTCAAGTGTTGCAATTGAAAGTTCAAAGTACCTATCTGTCACTACCCTCAAAGTACAAGTACCTATCTATAATTTACCCTTTGAAAACCCTATTAATTTTACTATCTACGAATTCCATTTATTACTCTATCTTAATGATCTTTTGCTGATGTAATGTTTAGGATGCACATGACAAAATATGGGAACCAATCCACATTGCATAACCGTATATATTTGTATTTTCATTCTTCTCAAATTGAGCCAAACATAATGTAAAAACGGAGTCAACCCGTTATCATTCTCTTTGCCTAACTGTTTTTTTTCCTTTTTTAAGTAAAGATTTCACTAAGGGTAGGTATTTAGTTATTCATTGATAATTCATACGAAAAAGCTTCGGAAATTTCTTTAAGCTTATTTGCTGAAACTTCCGAATCCAAGTTGAAGACCAACGGGGTCCCTTGATTTTGCTCGTCTGAACCAGCGGTTGGCGTCGGCACAAACAGCTCGGCCAGCAATGAGCTCACACGCAGGTGGAGGCATTAGAGCCGCTGAATTCTCCACATCAATCCATAAATTCTGGTTCAACAATGAGTTGTAGTATTGTCGTTTGTTAGCACAGAGCTCAGAAGCAACGCTCTCATAACTGTGGCCGAAGGCGGTGGAAGCGATATGGTGGCGGTTGAAGTGGATTTACAATGCTAGGTCTAGTGTACGCCAGCCTATCACAGAAGGGCATCGCTTGGGTGGTAAATTTGCGGGTGAAGGAGGGCAACACGTACTGATACTCCTTAACCTAATCGACATTGATTTGATAAAGTGGTAGAACTTTGAATGGGCAACATGTACTAAAAGATAAAAGAGTAGGGAACACGTAATTAGATTATTTAAGGGAGAAGTGAGAGATGAAATGGACCTTTATTTGAGCAAAATTGGCACGGTTGAATCAAATTTATGTGTGCATACCATTTCCTGCACGTCGCCCAGACCCTAGTCCTTCCCGTTTTAGTATATATAATAGATTTCACTAAGGCTATGTTTGGTTGGAAGGAAAAGGTAGAAAACCTATAGAAAGGTTGTATATATAGATTTCCATAACCTTTCTTAAGTTTCATACATTTCACTTCCTTTCCCTACATTTGCCTTCAAACCAAACACAGCCTAAGAGAAAAACTACATGATATCATATGCTGAGCGTCTAATAATAGAATATTTTCATAGTTCAGGGGAATTTTTTGCAATAACTGTTCATGTATTGGAGGCAGAACTTCAAAGCTATTTTTAACAGTAGTTCAGAATAGCAGTTGACATTGGTTCATTTGGTTGTGGGTAGGGTGTGGATAGCGTTTTCTCTGTAGTAGATTCGAACTCTATTTATTGTCGTGGGTATAGTAGATGTCTCATGAACATACTTTATGATGCCTACTTCCTCATTGTTCTAAATTATAATGCTAACCAATCATAATAATGGAGAGAAAGATAAATGAAGCAAAGTAATGGTAATCTGGAGGTGATGCCAAATCAAGCATTATAATGTAAAGGGTATTATAGTAATTTGAGTTGATAGATTGATGCTCCCTATTGTTGGTGTTGGCGCGTACAAATAGGTGGGCCTCTTCACGCGGTTGGACCGGATATCATTCTCGTCAGTGGTTCAAAAAATCTGGTCTTCGTTAGAGAGACAGTTGTGCCCATCATATACGACTAGTTCCAACTTGAGAGGCTGGAAGTTTCGTTGAAACTTGAAAGGAATTCAATTACGGGGACGGATGTATTAATTAGACTAGTGGTCTTGTAAATAAAGACAACCGACGGTTAGGAATCCTTCGTTCGGCTCGGGGAGTGCTTTTGGTGGTGGACCAAACCACGTGTCAAAAACTCTTCAACGGCTAAACCTCAAATGCAGAAAAGTCCAATTCAGTTATGGTGACGGTGGAGACACTGGAGCACATTGAAATTAATTAATTAAGCTCGGTTTGGAAGGAGTTCAAAACCTTGTATTTTATATCATTATGTATATATTTGTACTGTAGATATTTATATTTATATTCCAAGGACCCAGTCCTTTGCGATGGCTGAATTGAGGAATAGTTAAATTGATTCAGCAGGTTTGAAGCTTAAATTCTTGGGATAAATTATTCGAAGGAGTAAGAGGCTGAAACGAATAGCCCTTTAAATGACTGACTGATATCTAATTTGAGCTCTTAAAGATCTTTCACCAAATATAATTTATAGTTGTTCATATAAGGACTGAATTGGGATTTGTTGCACCTCACAACCCTATCCCATTATGTATTGGGAACATCTTCCTATGAATAACAATACAAATTATGTGAGATATTTTCGAAGGTGTTGTGAGGAACAGATCTTTGGAAAACCAGAAGCCGCTCCTCCAGCTCTCTCAAACGGACATTAACATTTGAATAGAGGCCGGAGGTGCACTAGCAGCACAATCTCCTCAAAGGCTGAAATAAGAAAAATCATGAAGAAGAAACAATGGAAAATGAGCTTGGACCCTCGTAAATCTAAACCATTGGTCTTGAACAGTGAGTGACCCAACATTGGAGGGTAAATCCAGGACCACTTGGCAATATCATTAGGCGTTTCCTTGGGCCTGGGGCCCTTAGGGGACATAGGAGCCCAGATGGGTGTAGCTCCTATTAAACTTGCCACCATCCCATTCCCACATATCCAGAATCACCCCCACCCGGCCACCTCTCTCCAGTCTCCACACAGAAAAGGAAAAAGAAGTGGGTGCCCTCTGCCCTGCCACTGACAAAGTTTAGTAGAGCTGAAACAAATTTGAACCATCTGATTTAGAGGAGAGGTAGAACTTCTTTTTCAGCATTATTTTTCGTTTCTCAACCATCCCATCAAATGCAGTAATATCAGAAGGCTGTGACCTCAAACAGTTCAGTTTTTGTCCAACTGATCTTTGGTCCTGTTTAGGCCCTACACCCAAAAGTTCGCCTTTCTCTTGGTAGGGGATGGGGGTAGGTTTCTAGATACAGTACTTAGAACCAATGGGAAGACAAAGGTCCCAATGGCCTGCCATATTGGAAGGTTTCAGCAAGATGGTCTTGGCAGTTGACTTTGACTCCATGTAATAAATGGTAACGCTGAGGCTGTTTTGGTTTGAAGAAAAAAGTAAGGAAATAAAGGAAAAGATAGAGAAATTTTTACAGTTTCTCCACCTTTCTCTTTCTTTTTCCTTCAAACCAAAACTCATATAGAAAAGAGAGTTTTTTATAAACAAAACTCTCAATTTTGTGAATATTCAATTTTTTATTAAATCTCCAAAATACTCTAATTCTTTAGTCTTTATCCCAATTATCCCAGAAAAAAACATATTAAAAAGTCATTTTCTCTTCATGCCATGCCATGCCATGCCAATTCCATTACTCTTATTGCATGTGTCATGTACGCCGCCAGTTATAAAAAAAGGGGAGTTATTATTCAGTCCACCCAACAAATCTTAGCTCTAACCCTACAGTTGGGGTAAAGGTATTTAAAATTCGGAATTGATGCTAATACGTATTTAATATTTTGAATTGTCTTAGGTCTGTAGTATAATTTAGAATTCTGAGATGGAGTACAGTATAGTTTTTACAAAAAAAAATGAAATCACAACTCTTCTTGCACGTGCAATGCATGTGTGTTTATGCATCACATTCACATGTGAATCTTTCTTCCCCCCAAGGAGGAGAAAAGAATGAGATCCTCTTGCTCTTGGGTCTTGGCTCAGGTCGGAAGGAAGAGGCTGAGGTAGCGTAGCGAAGTTCCTTGGCATTTTTTGACTTTCGCCTCATCCTCAAGGATTACATTATGTTGCATGCACATGATATAAGCAGAAATCCGACCATCCATTGCTTGGTCCCACCTAAGGCGACTCATTTATGTTTAGATTACAGTTACAGCTTGCTACCGTCGGATCAGTTGACTTGTGAACCAGGATATCATTGATCAGCTGGGTGCACCAGCATCACGGAGTTGACCCGAACCCGAGCTACATGTAAGGAAACGAGAAGAGCGGGGAGGCCAGTGTTCGTCTGGGAATTAGATTGGAGATTTGCTATTAATATATAACCATATATGCAATAAACGCTACAAGTATAGGCCCCTAAGCATGGAAACTTTGAAAGTTTCAATGGTTCCAAAACGGGCCACGCCCCCCACTCTCTTTCCGCTGTCGAAGCAATCGTTTATTCCTTCGCTATCTTCCACAATTCAATTTTAATTCGTTTTCTTCGTTTGAACGCTTTGATCCTCTCCGGTATGAATCTGCACTTCGTTGTTTTACTTTCTTTGAAGAATTCTTTTGACGGGAAGAAATAGTTGAAATTGCTGGAGACTGTTCTGCACCACGACGGAAGCGGAGCAGATGGAGAAACTTAACGTGGGCAAGTGTCATATTCGGTTCTTCTGGTTCTTCATCTCTCTCTGTTTTGCTCTATCCTTCCTCTTTCTTTACTTCAGTTCTGTCACTTTGTTCGATGGAAAGAGCAGGTATGACTACCCTGTTCTGTCCCCCTACTCGAATTTGATGGCTATTTCAGAAAACGATGCCAAACCCATTACTCGATCACCTGCAACGGATCATGTCATGCGTAATCAGTCCGACTCTATTGACAGAGTGACTGTGACTAATGAAGCATTACCAATGGAGGAGAAGGGTGATGAACCGGTTGAGGATAAACCTGTGAAAGAAACATCTAGTATTGACAAGAGCAAGAGATCCGAGCCAGCTGATGAACGACTACCCATTACAGAGAACACGACGGGGCCTGATTCCGATATCTGCTCCGGTCGTTATGTTTACCTCTATGATCTCCCTAGTAGATTCAATGATGAAATTATCAAAGACTGTCGGTCCATCAATTTGTGGTATGATATGTGTAGGGCCTTGGAGAACGGGGGCCTCGGTCCTCAACTGGTTGACACCGAAAAAGTCTTCTCTCACAAGAGCTGGTATGTGACCGACCAATTCACTTTGGAAGTCATCTTCCATGAAAGGATAAAACACTACAAGTGCTTAACAAACGATTCATCTCTGGCTTCAGCCTTTTATGTACCCTTCTATGCAGGTCTGGATGTAAGCCGTTACCTCTGGGGGTTTAATACATCAATGCGAGACAGTGCTGCGCTTGCTCTTATGAAGTGGCTCACTAAGAGAGATGAATGGAAGCTTATGTGGGGGAGGGATCACTTCCTAGTTGCAGGAAGGATAACATGGGACTTCAGGAGGTTGACAGAAGAGGACCAAGATTGGGGTAGCAAGCTGATGATCTTGCCTGAAGCTAAGAACATGTCTGTTTTGGTGATTGAATCAAGCCCTTGGCACAGAAACGATTTTGCAATTCCTTATCCAACCTACTTCCATCCTTCAAGAGACAATGAGATCTCCCAATGGCAGAACAGGATGAGGAGACTCAAGAGGCGTTTCTTGTTCTGTTTCGCAGGTGCTCCGCGTCCCAACCTCAAAGGGTCGATCAGGGGTGACATTATAGATCAATGCATAGCCTCTAGAAGGAGGTGCAGGTTGCTAAGTTGTGATTCCGGGGGAAACAAATGCCAAAAGCCAAGTCATGTGATGAAGTTATTTCAAAGCTCTGTTTTCTGTTTACAGCCTTCCGGCGATTCATACACTCGTAAATCGGCTTTTGATTCGATGTTGGCTGGATGCATACCAGTGTTCTTCCATCCAGGGTCTGCATATGTTCAATATCTGTGGCACCTACCCAAGAATTATTCAAGATACTCTGTGTTTATTTCCGAGAATGATGTGAAGGCAGGGAAAGTCAATATAGAGGAGAGGCTGCTTAGGATTCCCAGAGACAAGGTGAAATCTATGAGGGAGAAAGTTATACAGATGATTCCTAGACTGATATATGCAGACCCAAGGTCCGGATTACAGACCATTGAAGATGCTTTTGATTTAGCTGTTCAAGGAGTGATTGGCAGAGTTAATAAAATCAGGAGGGGGATTAGAGATGGGCCGGATTCTGAGATGGATTACAGGGAAGACGAGAGCTGGAAGTATAGGTTGTTTGGGAATGTGGAAAGAAATGAATGGAGTCCTTTCTTTACTAATTGGAAGGATTCAGACTCCTAGTTGGGAATTAGAGGAAAAAAAAAACATAGGTGTAAAAAGAGGATAGAGACCCATTTTCGGGTCATTTTGTGCAAATATATTGTAGTTTCATAAACTTGACTTAAAAATGTTGTGTTCAATATTGTTTAAAAGTTATTAGTTCTCTCTCTCTAGTAGAAATTTAAGTATTGAGTGTTTGTTGGTAAGAAAACAGAGTTTTTTCAGAACAACTAAGAGATTTGCCAAACGAACTAATAGAAATTTAAGTATTAAGTATTGATTTTCTCAGGTATCATTTTCCCGAGTCCGGATCTCCTACCCACGAGAACTCTGTTCACGTTTATCGCAGCCACACATGGAGAACATCTCATCCTCTGCATAGTATTATACAGGGTGAGATGTTCCCAATTCACAGGGGGTGGTGTATTGTGGGTAGGCGTGGGCAGAGTTCTCATGGACAGGAGATCCGGAGTCCATAACTGTACTTACCCAGAAAAGTAAGTTCCTGAAATACCAACATGACCTTAATTTTATTCCCTTTCCCTCGATCTATTTGAATCCAATAACCTTTTACTCCATATGGGATTGTCCTACAATTTGAATGTTATTGTTTTCATTTGTTTTTCTAAATTGTCACATCAAAGAAAAAAACATGCTCAACTCTATATTTGTTTTGAAAGGTAAAAACAAGTTTGGTTTTAAAAATAAATTTTGTAGTATAGAAATTATATGATGGTTTTCAAAATAAAAAATAAATTTAGGAATGTTGAAATTATATGATTTATGAAACATGACAGATAGAAACATGTTTTTGAAACCAGAAATTCAACATGGTTTTGGTTTCGATTTTAGAAAAATCTAGCATTTTCTGTGAAGAATGCACATGTCAAACTCAAAAAATTGTCTTTTGCGAACAGATGAATAAGGGGTGCTCACGGTTCGGGTAACCAAACCTTCGGCCTTTTTTTATGAACCGAATCGGTAGTACTGGTTTTTGGAAAACCGGTAACTGGAACTAAACCRAAACCAGTCGATTAACCGGTTGACTGGTCGGTTAACCGTTGGTTCAGTTCATCGGTTTTTTGGTTTTTTAGTTTTTATAATATTTATTATAAAATATATATATATATATAATATATTATAAAATATATATATATATATATATATATATTTATATATGATGCATATTTATTAATTTATAATATATAAAATATATAGAAAAACATGTATACCGGTCGATTCGATTAACTACCGGTTTTTTATATTGGTTAACCAAAACCAAACCGATTCTTTCAATTTTTTAAAAACACCGAACCGACCAGTATGATTAACCAATTTTTCGGTTTGATTTCGGTCAGTTTTTAGGTTTTTTTTTCTCACCCCTACTCTCTTGAAGAGATTAACAATGCTCACTCACTCGCAAGTCACAAGTGCCCGTAAGAGTACAAAACGCAGGTGTTCGTAAGGCAACAAGAAATTTTCTTTGGAGGCATTTGATTATGTATGATTTTGTTTTTTTTTTCAAATTCAAAATAAAAATATTTGTGCTGTTATGCATGGATAAACTGTCCACAATCTGAAGTAATCTGAAATTATTACAAATTTAAAATAGAAGCAAAGTACATATGAAAGCTGAAGCTAATTAAAGATAAGCCAGGTTTGTCAAAGTAGGCTGCTAGGCAAACTTAAACCCACTTGCTAAAAATGGAAAAGAAAAGAAGGCAAATCACCCCCCTGCCCCTTCCCAACTTCCCCACTCCACCAACACGCACAATGCGTCTTAAGACCAGACCAAAGTATTCTGGGCGACATACCTGTCGCAAAAGAAACGTCTAATAGGCAGAACCGCTCCCGTGCGATTCCACAATTACAGTCACGCCGGCATGAAAATCAAAAAGCAGTTCACCGTGTTTGGTTGGGGTCGTAGAAGGGAGTTCCAATTTGGAGAAGGATCTAATTAAAAATTAGCTAATGCTGCACCACCATCATAACCGATTCTTATCATCATTATCAAAGCCTTGTCCTCGTGTACATGAATCCTACTATTTCACAATGACAATATAACCCATTCCATCATCCCCGCCAATTTTGGGGCTAATCAAATATAAGAAATGCCTTGCATGTATTAATGATATCTTTTGGTTCCAAAACATAGATTTATTACATGAATTTGAAAATGAACGATCAACCTTAGTTAGCAAAAGAGACTGCCTTGTCCAGGATCAGCTTAATTTACTCCTCAGGACTCAGGAGTGAGGAGATGAGCGGAAGGGGGTCTTGCTTATCCCAAATCATCCGTCCTTCTATTCGGCTACAGACCCATACAGAATATCGTTGCCATTCACAATTGTCCATAAAAGAAGGTATCAGTAGATGAAAAATAAATCATCAAAACCATCAACAGATTTTCCGCTCATCACCACAATGGTAGCTTGGCGTCACATTTATGTAATGCACTCTTTCATGTTTAGTGTAGGAAGGTGAGTGGTGACAGCTAAAAGAACTTGACCATGCCACGACCCTCAACGCTGAGCTTTGTTGCTTGAAGCTGTTTCTTCTTTGGTGCTTTCAACTGTTGCAACTTCTTATTCATCTGCAATCAACAAAACAACCTTTACACCAACTTCCTTGTAGTAGGATTTTACAACTATTGGTTTTATGAGATTTAAAAATAAAATATTAGGTTTGAGCTCTCAGCTCTAGATAACACCATTTACATCATCCAAGAAAATTCATTTATTGTTTAATACCCTAGGGTATCAGTTGAAAATTAGACATGAAAATAGATGCTCCACCAGAATTTTTCCAAGATATCTCCCTTCACTAGCATTTTTTCTTCTGCTGTTTTCAAATCAGCTGCGCTCCAGAAAATACCATTACCAATTTACCATTGACTAATGCTTCTTATCTATTGATGTTGATAGCTCCACAAAATTCCTGTCTTCTAAACCAGGGATTGAAGCATGTTGACTTGTTTTAAGTGATAGAATTATTATTACTAGCACAGTAGCACTTAAAAGCACAAACATGATACCCATTAATTGAACTCCTAAAGGAGGTGATTATCATTGAATAATGAGAAACAGTTAGACTCAGTTAACCATTTCCATTCCACATACAAGTTGCACCACATGAAACCTAGAATACCAGCTGATTGTTATCAATAATTTCACATTAAATCATTCCAAAGTATTTTACGATATTTTACATAGTCTTTTAAGAATTATTTTTTTCCTTTTCCCTTTTTATTCTTGTATTAGTTTAAGTACTTGATTGCCCTAGGCATCAAGAAAAATGTAGAAAAGAAGAAAATCTTTGTGGTTATTCAAGAATTATTTTCCACCTATTGCATCAACCTCGCAGACAGGATCAAAATAAGATGGATAAAGCAGACAGCAGAAGAAAGAATTTGGCTCAGATTTCTTCCACTGTTTCATATAGGGTAGAGAAAGACTGAAGTGAATCATAGTGGTGGAGGTTTAGGTATTAATTGTTTCTTTTTTCCTAACAAAAAGACTAAAAACATAAAACAAAAATAAGAACAATGATGAGTGCAAAGTAGAATACGGTGAAGTCAGATGATAAAAATTGACCAAATAAGGACAGACAATGATAAGAACAGATTAACAAAAGCTTTCTATCTGGCACATAGTACAAGTTCAATCATATTTCACCTAGTAGTTGGTAATAGGATCCTGTGATCTATCTAGTTCAACAAATTCAATGCTGATTTTGCTCTGGCTTCATAAAGTGACAGAATGATTATCAATATCAGTTGAACATAGAAATATAAACTTCGGTCCACTTGAAATTTGAACTATTTTTTTTCTTTTTTCCTGCAGAAACTTGGAACTACTCAAAATACTCAAAATAAAATACTTTTCAGCATATTTATAGGTTTGCAGCATCAAATAATGATTCCAAGCAATTAGTTAAATCCATCTCAAATGGGTAAACTGAGCATAGGATTCAAGCTTAATAAGTTCTGACACATTTTGTTCTTCCATGGCCATACAACAAACTAACCTTCACACGGCGTTGATCATGTACGACTTGTTTAGCCCTGGCTCTGACTTCATCCGGATCTATCTTGGATTGTGGACGTATCACAAAATCCATTGGTAGGGCTTCAGGCCTGGAAGCATGTTGCCTATTGGATGATTGGCCAGACTTTGGTTCTCTACATTGCAAAGAGTAACAAGCATTAAGACATACATTAGAAACATCTTGCACAACTACACACAGCAAATGACATGTGCATTACAAATCGATATACTATATTCCAATGATAACTTACTGTGAAAATTCAGCCAAATCAAGATCGTCATCTCTTGATTCTAATCCTGCAGCTTTGGTTACTAGCCTATAAAGAACAATTATCCAGCAATGTAAAAAACAATAATAACAGTATTAATTCAAATTGATAAACAGCTAATACAATTCAAAAACAAAAGACAAGAAAATATTGGATATACTTTTTAGCTGCCGGCCTCCGAAAGGGAACTCTCTCATCATCATAGCTTTTCATGTCCTCAAAACGTGTGCTCTTATTAAATATAGGTCGACTCTGCATTCATTTTGTTTAAGTAAATTGTGTGTAACATTTCAAATCATCAGTGAGTGCAAATCAAAAACTTGTTTTAAGAGTTTACATCAGTAAATAGTATTTTGATGTCTGTCAACATCCCTATAAGCCTAGATATACTTCAAATTTGGATAAACACAAGCAACTCCATTTCTTATTGGGAGTTGGGGCACAGCTCCCCTAGCTGGAAGACTCACTGAATATTGGTCTCTCATGGTTTCCTCCCATTATACCACCCTTAAGTCATGCTACTATAGATGCCTCATTGATAGAAAACACACGAATTTCTTGAAAACTAATCATGGATTTCATACAATACATGATTTGGTATTTGCAGCATACCCATTTGTCAACTAAATCCTTCGCAAGTTTCCTGTTGGAAGTGGTCTCCTCATCAGATCTTGACAAAAACATGATGACCTGCATTAGGGAAAAAAATAACTATCCATGCTGCTAGGTATCAAGAATCCATAAAGGACAAACACATAATTGCTTCACTAAGGCAAGCCCAAACCTTTCCAAGGCCACTCTTCTTAAGCTGCTCCCTCCTGTCATATTGTTCTAAATCAATTGGAAACTGTAGAGAAGAATAAGCATCCCATGTTATGAAAGACCAAGTTTATTCAGAGACAACATAATCATTACCACAAGCCAATAACTAAGAGGGAGGACTAACACACATACATCAGTCAGTATCTTCAATATTGCAGTTCGGATATTTATGTTGGGCAAGCTTCCATCTGGCAGGGGCTCGAGCCAGTTCTTTAGAAGAGTTAGTACTCCATGATCCAAGAACTCTTGTTGAAGCTGCCTCCTGGGAGACAAACAGGCAAAACGAGAATGAAGAAATGAGCACACAGAATATATTTCTGTTTTAACTAGAATATATCTTTTTTCTAATTGCGAGCTATGTGGAGACGGGGCTCAAGCATGTACATAGCAGATAATGATCGTACTTTGAGAGGACCTCAGTCAGAAGAGGCAACTTCTTGAGTTTATTAATGGCAGGTTTAGACTGTCTATTCAGCTCTGCATCTTCTTCGGCAGTGACCTCAAGTTCGGCCATGAGATGTTCAACTAGCAAGGCTATTTCGGCAGCACTTTTCTCATTCTTCTTTTTCTTCTTACCCATCTTGAAGAGTTCTTTGATTTCATCATCCTCTTCACCCTCTTCCGCCTGCCAGAATTTGGGGGAGAAACGATTAAAGAATGAATGAGAATAGAAGAAATATGCGAACAGGTTATGCCATAAACAATCATACTCTAAATCAAAACAAAAGTTTAACAGCTTCCAGGAGGTCTGGAAATGCAGTAGCGCAAATGCATTTTATCTCCCGTTACAATATGCGTACGAAATGAGTTAATGAATTTCTAACCTGAGGAGCATCGCCGAGGAAGCCTGGTTCATTGTCACTGCCATATCGGTCGGCAGGATCCACACCGCTATCATCTATGAAGTTATCATCATCCACAGTTCTGACACCTTCGTGGTCATCCTATTGCAATTACAAAAACAAAAACGATGATGCAACCTGAAAAGCTCAAACCTACTCATCAAATTAAATCGAGGAAAGGAAATAAAGAATACATATAATGAGAGAACCATGACCATGAGGCTGCAAACACAATTTGTTTGGGCTTTTGTTACCATCCCTTACCTCCGAATCCGCCCCAGCAATCGTATCCCACATCTCTTTCATCTCCGGGTCTCCACTCTGATGATCCCTGGACCTTCCAGAACTCCCACTCTTTGAGCCAGATTTGAAGACCTTCCCAAGCTTCCGGTCGGACTTCGGCTTCTTATCCTTCTTTCCGTTTCCAGCATCCTTGGAGACTTTCCTCTTACGCGCCGAGGACGATGGCTCATTGTCAGAATCCTCTCTCACAAAATCTTGTACATCATCCTCGACACCAAAATCCGGGGTACTTTCCTTCGCAGTACTTTTCTTAATGAGCCTCTTCCTTGGCTTAGCTTTCAATGCAGAATCGGATTCATGAACCGGGGTCGGCGATCGCTCTCGCCGCCAGTCTTCGTCGAGATCTTCTGGTTCAAGCGACGGCTCCCGATCGGATGGCATGTCTGGGTCCATCAAAGGCTCACCATCTTCGTCACGGTACCTACAACGATAACCGAGGTTCGAAAACCCTAAATTATTTATTCCTTCACCGTAGAATTAAGGGAAAAAAAAGGAAATTTTGGAAATCTGAAAGCACTTACGGATCGTTTTCGTAACCCATGTTGCTTGAAGGGAGGAGCTCTTGACAGAAACAAAACCCTAGACGAGAGAGATGTCTGCTGCGCTATGCAGCCTATGCTATGACGATGGATTGTTGAAATCCGGGAAATCCAAAAGAGAAGAAAATGGTGCAGGATGATAAAGAGGGATCGACGGAACAACTTGGATGAATTTTGAGGAGTCAAAACGGTGGATGGATATGATCAATTGGAGATTACTGCAGAATGTGCTTGAAGATGGAAACTGGAAGAAAGGATGCAGCATGAACTGGGATTGGGGCCTGGGGGGAGGGGGAGAATTACGGGTTCTCCCCAACGCGTAAGCGCGGCACGTCCAATGGACGACCATGTTAAACAACTCTGATTGGCATCCGAAAGTCTTAGCCAGCAGAACGTGCATTAATGGAGCGTAAGGCTACGGAGTTATTGCAATCAAGGAATAGAGTTGTTTTATTACTGAATCACCCTCCAAGTGTCAACGATAAGTCCACCCTGTGGGCTGTGGCTATGCGCGTTGTAATGGCCGGGTTTCCATAAACCGGTCTGATTTTGTTGAGCGTTGGATATTTGTTGGGCAGAAAACCAATATCCAAGACATGAGATTTGAGTGGTGTTTTCCTTGCATTTTGGTTCCTTCAAATTAACATATGCCAATATGCTTTTATTCTTTATTTGTAATTACAAGCGTGTTCTGATCTTAAAAATGTAATATATAAGGCTATGTTTGGTTTGAAGGAAAAGGTAGGGAAAGGAAGGAACTAATATAAGGGTTGTAAAGGTTTTCTTTCCCTATATTTTCCTTCAGACGAAAGGGTAAATTTCTTAAACTACCCTTATGATTTTTTGTTCAGATTTGAAGATTCGAAATATCCATTTTCAGCGGTCTGCTCTCGCTCTTCCCATCGATGGTATTATCCATAGTAGTGGGAGTTCTATTCCTGTAGTGAGTCGATCACATTCAAATGGTAGTGACAACGTAAGCACTATTTTTATTGGAACAAAAGAGAGATCTGTGAAGTTAATGGAGTGCTTGATCGTGGCTTAGCTTGTCTCTGTCTTTAGAATCTGGAAATCGTTGGATTTCCAGGCAATCAAAGTATGTGTGGTGGATCGGAGCGGTTAAAGTCCACTTCGTTCTTGCCGTCTTCTCCTTCATCCTTTGAAGAAAGAAAAACTCCACTGTAGAAACTGAAGATTCTTTCTAGAGTTTACTTAAGCTCGTGGCTAACACTGATGTTGAAGGCTTCAAGCGTTCGTTGGAGAGTGATGCCTCTTCTATCAATGAGATTGGTCTTTGGTATGTCCGCCAAAAGGGCTCGAAGTAGATAGTCCTCCTTCGATGGTTGCTGCAACTTATGGTAGTATTGATTTCTTCAAGCTATTCCTTGCTCTGTCCAAGGCTGATATAAATCATTACTGTGGGCCGGATTAGAGCACTGTTCTCCACCATGCAGCCTCCGGTGGATCTGTAAACGTTGTAGATGTTGTGAAGCTGCTTTTGTTTGTTTTTCTATTTGAGAGCAATGGTTCTGATGGTTTTTCTATTGGAGAGTTCAGTTTGCGGGTTTCCACAACAACATCGAATTCAAATTCACCCCCTTTGTCATCATCCCCGGAGAATGCATCTCCGTCGTCTGCCTCAGATTCGACTTTATCTCCCATGATCAAGTCTCTAAAGTCTTTAAGGTAGGGCTGTTCATAAGAATGCCCAACCCGATCAAGCCGACCAACCCCGACCGACCCAACCCGAGTCAGCCGGGTTTTCATCAGCACCGGTTGGTTTCAGTTTGGGCAAATTCATAAACCGATATATCGGGTCAGTTTCGGTTTTCTTGTGTGAAAACCAAAACCGACCCGAACCGAACCGAACCAATTAGTCTTCTAGTTTGGTAATTCCTACTTAACTAGTCTTCTAGTTTCTACTTAATTAAATTGTATCTATCCTAGTTTCTATAGTCTTTTACACCAAATAGGCAACCCATTAGGCAATTACAATTAGAATTAGGTGTCTTTTTTTACCTAGATTAGAATTTAGAGAGTTTCTTGAAATATAAATATTTCAGCCTTCTTTCTATAAAACAGTTTGACTTTCTATTTTATTGATAACTTTTGTCTTCTATTAGAAATAGGTGTCCTTTTTTACCTAAATTGTATCTATCCTAGTTTCTATAGTCTCTTACACCAAATAGGTAACTCATTAGGCAATTACAATTAGAATTAGGTGTCATTTTTTACCTATATTAGAATTTAAAAAGTTTCTTGAAATATAAATATTTCAACCTTCTTTTTATAAAACAGTTTGACTTTCTATTTTATTGATAACTTTTGTCTTATCTTTTATTCTCTAACTTGGTCCGCCCCCCTCAAGTCCTCAACTCAAGACATCATTTGATTTTTGAACTTGGCTCTCCCATCTTCTCAAATAAATTTCCTTCTAGTTCTAGGCTTCTCTGTCCTTTTTGTACAGGAGCAAAATCGAAACCGACCCAACCCGACTCAAACCGACCAAGTCGGTTTTGCCTATCAGTGGGTCGGTTTCGGTTTCCACCTCAGGTAACCCGACCAGGTCGGGTCGGTTGGGAAAACCCCAGTAAACTGATCCAACCCGACCCGTGAACAACCCTACTTTAAGGGATGTTATTCTTTCCCCTTTTCCTTGTTTTATTTTGAAATTTTGAAAAAGAATAACGGGTAAAAATGTATTTTTAATCTTTATGTTAACGGGCGCTAACGGTAAAGAAAGTATTAGTCAATTGTCAGAAACAGTGAGGGTAGTGTTAGTCAATTTTTAAACAGTAAGGGTACACTTAATCAATTAGCTAGACCATAAGGGTAGTTTAAGAAATTTACCCAACATATAATGATATTTAGTACATAGTAGGGGTGAGCAAAAAAAACCAAACCGACCAAAAAAATTAACCGAAATCGAATTGAAAAATGGTTAATCGAACCGGTCGGTTCGGTTTCAGTTTGATGTTTTAAAAAAATTAACAGTTTTGGTTCGGCTCCAGTTAACAATTTAAAAGAACCGGTCGTTAACCGAACTGACCGATATATATGTCAATAATATATATTTATATAATATAATATTATATATTATATATTTTTTGAAAATCTAATTAAATTTTAAAAAGTCGAACTGAGAGTGGTCAAACTCAAACATTGAGGTTTCAGTTCGCYAGTCTGACAGACTGACACCCACCGCGCAGGGAGCCAAGGACTTTTCAGTCTTTCCCTTAATCCCTTTCTTTCCCTCCCTCTCTCTCTCTCTCTCTCTTAGACTCTCTCTATGAGTTCTATTTCTTTCCCTTTTTCCCCAACGGACTCTCTCTCTAAGCTCTCTCGAACTCTCACTCTTTCAGACTCCCACTCTCCCAGTTCTCTTCTTCCCCAATGGGCCGATGGCCTTTAGCGCTCCGCCCTCTGATCGAATCACCAATGGCCTCCGACACTGGCAATCCCTCCTGCTTTGGCAACACCAAAGGTTCGGCTGCATTTGCTCGGCAACACTAGCAATCACTCTGCTGCATCTCCTAGTTCTCTTCGTCTTCGACTGTGTTTTTCCCTTTTTTTTATTTTGAGGGCATAAAAAATCAACAAACCGAACTGCGGTTAACCGGTTACATCGGTTCGGTTTCGATTTGATTAAATGTAAAAGGCGAATATATCGGGTCGGTCCAGAAAATTACCCCATGAGCACCCCTAGTACATAGTGCATACACACGTATAACAATATAATATATAAAGCCAAATACCATATATCATATCATATATATTGTTAATACTAAGATCAGCTTCGGTCAAGGCAAGCTCGTGCCCACACCATTCCAACTGTCTTTTGCAACTTTGCATTAGGAATATCTCCTCATTAAATAAAGCACATAAGTAGGGAGATATTTACAATGCAAGGCTTAAAAGTTGCTCAAACGGGCTTTGTCCTGACCGAGCCGAATTCGTTAATACTCTCACAGTCTCACTTCTTCCTATGATACATAACTTGACAAGCTGATTATCGAGAATCAACAGCAATCCATCGAGGTTGTCAAGACCAAGCAAAAGAGAAAGTCATGGTGCTGGTTGGTCTCTCTTTGTCTTGGTTTGTATTTCTTGTTTTGATGTGTTTTTAATGGATTTGGGCATGTGGGTATGAATTTTTAGGTGAGCTTGACAATCCAAATGGGGGATGACGATCTAGGTTTGCCATGATTGAAGCCAATGTTGAAGGCCAATTTTAAAATGAGGGCTAAAGTTGTATTTTTAAATGAATATGTGCTTGTTGGAGAAATAGACCACCAAACACCTATTATGAAATAAGCACTTATTTTTTAAAATAAGCATTTGAAAAAGTTAAGTGTCAAATGCAAATATATGTTTATTTGAATAAGCACTTTTATTGCTACTAAATTTGGAGTCAAGGGCAACAAGGTAACTTTTGAGGCCAAGAGTTGAGGGTCCCATATACAAAAAGTAAAAAAACATCATAGGCTCTGGGAGTGTTCTTTGGGGCAAGGACTCTGACAATCAAATTAGTCAAGGTCACAGCAAGAGAATATAGTAGATAATTGAAATGTGTGTAAGTGTACCTTAGACTTTGGTGCCCTTTTATAGTCGGAGTCACCTGGGAGAGGAGTAAAGGGAAATCAATAACCGTCACGTGAATCTCGATCATGAATAGGGTTGTTACAAGGATGACGGCCAAGCATTACCCCTTCATAAGTGTGTTGGGAGCAAGTATAGCCGAGAATGTGATGCCTGTAGTAAATGCCTCGTAGTGACTTGTGGGAGTTACGACAATACCCTTAACTGAGGTCAAAGTGCTGAAAATGCCCATGAATAGTGCCACGTGTCATCATCTAGTGAAGTGGTTGGTTATACCAATACCCACATCACACTTGCTTTTAAACACTTTTTTTTTTAAATAAGCACTCCAAACTTGGCCTTATTTAATAATAGGAGAATTGTTTTAGAATGGTTAATCAACCATATTGACCTGCTACTCACATGGACGGGTATGGGTGGGTCAAATGGATTGGGTTGAAAAATGCTACCCCTAGTTACACATTCCATAACTTATTAGAGAAAGCAATCATTTATATCAATCTTAGCATTGTTCACGGGCTGGGTTCAAGTCAGGCATTGCCTTGACCATTTGTTCTTTAAATGTGAAGTATCAAGTCATGTTTGGAGGATACTTCCATTAATAGTTGGTGGGCCAGAATTTCTAATTGCCCTTTTTCCTTGATTGACTGGTTTTATAAAGAAAAACTTACCTGTATAAAAAATATAAATAATAATAATAAAAGCTTTAATGATAAAGTTGTTAATCCTCAAAGTGTTATTGATATATCTTATGCTTTATGGAGTGAGATTAAGGATAATGTGATTAGCAATGATCATTGCAATATAAGGATTGGACTTATGTTGGTTGGTATAAGCCTAAGCCAGGTAGCATCAAGATTAGCTTTGATGCTTCCTATAGAATTGATGGTAAATGTGTCATCGGTTGCGTCGTTAAAAATCATCAGGTTGAGATCCTAGAAACGAAGGCGTATAATATATATATATATATATATATTTTTTTTTATAAGTAAAGAACAAAGGCGTATAATATTGGGCATACTACGATAAATCTCGTTGAAGCTTGGGCAGCTTGGGAAGCTATCAACACTACGATCAACTATAGGGACTTGGCAATCACAATCGAAGGAGACTCAAAGCTTGTCGCCGACTGCCTCTATGGTAGAATTATCCCCCCTTGGAGATTGGACCGCATCATCAAAGAGTGCCTCAGCCTGTCTTCCATGTACAACTTAAGCATCAAATTCAAACATATATTTCCAGAGGCGAATCAAGTGGCTGATTGGCTGGCTCGTAAGGTGATTGATGTAGAGGTGTTCATGGTTCGGTTCGGTGTGATTTGGAGAAGATCCTAGACCAAACCGATAAATTATGGTTTGAAAAATTTCTAAACCAAACCAAACAGTTTTAATATGGAAACCAAACCAAACCAAACCAAACCATTTTATTGCGGTTTAGTGTGGTTTCTAATATGGTTTGGGGACTTTGGACCATTCTATGATTCTTTTGGGCTTAACCCAATTAGAAAGTCCAAATAGCTTCCCTAAAAATTAAACGGAAAATTACGTTGCAACTCACAACAAAATTATAAATTCCACTTCAAACCTACGAAAATTCAAAATGCCAAATACCCTCACCCTATACACCAATACCGGCCCATGAATTGGCATCAATTCCAAGTTAGCACCTACCCCAACTGTACTTTGGGCCTAAGAATTCTGATGCTTGGCTGAACCGTCATTCTCCCAAAATTAAAACTTAAAACTTTTATTAATTATTTTATTATAAACTAAAGAGTTCATTATATATTTATAATTTTACGCATTCCATTTAGATATATTATATATATAATATTTGTATATCATATATTCATATTATATATATATATATGTATTTTCAATTTACAATTTGGTTCATTTATAAAATTCAATAAAACAAATCAAAATCGTAAACCACAATTTAGAAAATTCTCAAACCGAATCAAACTAAACCAAACCAAACCACAAATTCGTTTGATTTGGTTCAGTTTTACGATTTAAACAGTATAATGAACACCCCTAGATCAATGATCAACGAAATACCTCGAATTTTATTCCTTATGATCTTAGCTTAGCTTAATTTGTATTTCGGTGTGCAGCTCCTCTTTCTTTCCATAAAAAAAATGTCCCGATCCAAGCCCTAGCCCAGTCTAAACATAAAACGTATTTGGGAAAGCCCGAGCCTGAACCTACATGCCTAAATTTTGTCGAAGTTCGAAAAAGAATGGGTTGGGCTGGCGGGTTACGCTGCCCATGAACAGGTCCACTCAGCCTCAGCCACCGTGTCCCTTGATGACCTATGAGTTCCATGCCTAAGCGACTGTAACTCTGTAAGCGAGTCCGGAGACTCTCAAGTCTCAGCGTTCAATACTGCTTCGAATGTTTTCCGATCAATTTACATCCAATGAGCCTATGATGTAGGGTCTGTAGGCACAGTTGCGAAGCAAACCCGCCAGCCCATGAACAGGTCCACTCAGCCTCAKCCACCGTRTCCCTTGATGACCTATGAGTTCCATGCCTAAGCGACTGTAACTCTGTAAGCGAGTCCGGAGACTCTCAAGTCTCAGCGTTCAATACTGCTCCGAATGTTTTCCGATCAATTTACATCCAATGAGCCTATGATGTAGGGCCTGTAGGCACAGTTGCGAAGCATCTTCGTCGAAGAATTCAAATGGAGATGGAGATAAGGTTGCTGAAACCTCTTGCGGAAATTGAACGAGTGCAGAAGCAGCTCACACTTTCTTTGTTAAAAAGCCGTGAAACAACCGCAACTTCAAAGCATTTAAAGGCTCTCCATGTTCACCTCATTCGGACCGGGCTGCATCAGAGCAGCTACGCTGTTGGGAACTTCGTGGCTCATTGCGCCACCTTGGGCAGCATGGGCTATGCAACCCAGGTTTTCAATCAAATGTCCGAACCTAATTCCTTTGTTTGGAATACAATGATCCGAGGATTCCAACAGAACCAACAACCTGAGCAAGCCCTTGCGTTCTTTGATCAGATGAGGATTCGAAGCATTCGACCCGATTGCTTCACCTTCCCTTTTGTCATCAGGGCCTGTGCAAATTTGCAGTATTTCCGTACTGGGAGATGCGTTCATGCGCAGCTGTTCAAGATTTGCCTCCACGATGATGTTTTCATCGCTACCAGTTTGATTGAATTCTATGGAATTTCTTGGGATATGATGACGGCTCAGCAAGTCTTTGATGAGATGCCCGTGAAGGATTCAGTGTCCTGGACGACCCTCTTATCAGGGTATGTGAACCACTGCAGTGATTTGAAGAAAGCTCGCCAACTTTTTGATGAGATGCCGGCGAAGGATCTTGTAGCATGGAATACCATTATAGGAGGCTACGTGAAAGTTGGGGACATGGAACTTGCTAACAAGTTGTTTGATCAAGCTCCGATCAAGGATTTATTGATGTACAATACGTTGTTGGGTGGCTTTGCAAAACATGGTGAACCTCAAGTCGTACTGCAATTTTTTGATAAGATGCCAGAGAGGGATGTGGTCTCCTGGAATTCGGCCATTGGAGGGCTTGTCCAGAATAAGAGGATTAATGAAGCTATGGCACTCTTTCATCGAATGCAAATGGAAAATTCGAAGCCTAATGAGGTGACTCTAGTAAGCATTCTTTCTGCTTGTGCCCAGGCCGGAGCCTTGGATGTGGGCAGATGGATACATTCATACATCGACAGGAACGCTGTTGATCTGAAGGTTGTAGTCGGTACTGCTTTAGTGAACATGTATTCAAAATGTGGGGCACTAGAGAGTGCTCAACATGTTTTTGATTGCATGCCAGATCGAGATGTCGTGGCTTGGAATGCAATGATCATGGGATTTTCCATGAATGGACAAAGTAAAAATGCCTTGGAGTTGTTTTCTCAAATGAGAAGGGAAGATGTAAAGCCTAATGAAATTACCATGATCGGAGTACTCAGTGCCTGCACTCATTCAGGATTAATAGATGAAGGGCGAAAGCATTTTGATGGCATGCGCCATGAGCTTGGCATCACCCCCAAGATCGAGCACTATGGATGCATGGTTGACCTACTTGGACGTTCAGGATTGTTGGAAGAAGCTTATAAATTCATTCAAGATATGCCTATTGTGCCACATGCCGGGGTCTGGGGCGCCCTGCTTGGTGCCTGTAAGATCCATGGCAATATTACACTTGCAGAGCTTGCCATCCAACACTTGGTTGAACTGGACCCGGAAGATGGGGGTTATTTATCTATAATGTCCAATATCTATGCCAACGCTGGAAGATGGGATGATGTTGCCAAGGTTAGGCAGTTGATGATAGAGAAAGGGATTAGTAAATTGCGGGGGTGTAGTTCCATTGAAATCAATGGTGAGATTCATGAGTTCGGGGCGGAGGAGAAAATCCACCCTCGATCCAAGGAAATTTATGAGATGATAGACGAGATTTCCAAGCAGTTAAGGATTGCAGGTCATGCGGCAAGTACAACAGAGGTATTCTTTGATGTGGAAGAGGAGGAAAAAGAAAAGGCCCTATTCTTCCACAGTGAGAAGTTGGCTGCTGCTTTTGGACTGATCGCCACTGATAAAGGGGTTACCTTACGCATCGTAAAGAACTTGAGGATCTGTGCTGATTGTCACTCCGCTATAAAGATTATTTCAAGGATTTTTGATAGAGAAATAGTGGTTAGAGATCGGAGCCGATTCCACCATTTCAAGAAGGGTACATGTTCTTGTGGAGATTACTGGTGAGTTTGTTATCTTGGATCATGGAGCTGTTGATCATGTATCATTTATATGCCAAATTGCCAATCAAGTAGTCAAATGCCGTTCTCATCTCATGCGATTGACAGCCTGAATTTACAACCACATACACGATTGAGTTCAGCTTAGGATCATAATAAGCTTTAGAAGGGATGGGATACGTCTATGTGGCAGTGGCTAGAGGAAGGTACTAGCTGATTTAGTTGACAGTCAATGGGTATAATTCCCACTGACCTGGAAACGAACCTACTTTCACCCTCCCCACCTCCATCTCCAAGTTTGCCTAGCAAAGAAGAAAAGTTGCAGTGCCAAGAAACTGGGTGTTTGATTTGCAAAAGCACTACCAAAGATCAAGACTCGAAAAGGTTGAAATGGATAAATGTGGTCAGTATGGTTAGATGGAGGCTCTTGATTTAAGTTTCCTCTAGGTATCACAGCACAGGTACTGATGGGAGGGATCTAGACAGTCTCATAGGTTTCATAGCCGATTCACCAAAAGGATGCCAGGTTGTCGTAACATGGATGCTGCTCTGTAACGGGCTGCAAATGATTGGGTTCAAGGAGCACCATCAAAATGGGGTCATATGGTGTGATTGTTCTATGGAACTACAGATATTTGGCAAGGCGCACTGACAAGATAGAGGGACTCTATGGAAGGTTTGTTTAAGCCATGTGATTTTTTTAAGGTCATACTTTGTACACTAGTGGGGATTTGGGGGTGGGGATAGAGCAAGATGCATGTAAGGCCCACTGACCATACAAAGGACAGCCTGCATGTGCAGGTTTGATCCCACTCCACTGTGGCAGGGATGCCTTTTGACAAATTCAACTATGGGTCATATGGCTTAAGCCATATGAATTCACTGTCTGCAAATATTCCAGTACATTCCCATTGCATACATTAGTTGAAAGATTCATGCTCATGCTATGCAACTTACATATTGCACAATCAAGAAAATTGTAGTTGGATGAACAAAATCTCCATTGTTTTGTGGGCATAGCCCATGTATTGAAGCCAAGGAAAGAAATAATCTCCACTGTTCTTTGGATATGGTCAATGGATACCAATACAGTTGAGCAAACTATTTAACTGTTGATCAATAATAATGAACAAAAATGAGGAGAAAATAAGAAAGGGAATAGTTGTTCAGTCGGCAGAAATTAGCTGATCAGAAATGAACCAAGCTGTATACTAGAATCCACACAAGCTGCAAAATGGAAAAGAGGAAGGATATCTCAGTCATTAAAACAGTGGCAATATGCCTTCAGAGGCATGTTCTAATATCTAAATGACATGAAAATCTAAAGAACATACCAGAAATAAAGTTAAAGAAGCAAAAAGCCCCTCTTGAAGCAGAGTTCCATGACCACCAAAATCTTCTTCATCAATTTTTAATACTATCGAATAGTACCCATAAATAATTCCAGAGGATAGCACAAGGAATCTGGAAAGAAATATACATATGCATGATTAGGTTTTTGAATATCATAAAATGTATGCACACATGCATAGAGGACTTTCCACATAGCATAGCAAAAGATTTAAGGTAAAAACGCTTTCCTGTTTGTTTATGCAACTTACTCCCAGGTTTTCTTTTCCCGGTAAACAACTTCCAGGTTGTCATACCAAGAAAATTGTAAAGCTTGAATAAATAGCCAAATATAGTAAGCACTTTTTTTCTTTTGTTGCAGAGAGGGAGAGGCTTTTTATGGGAGGTCAACCAAAATGCTACTATTATAGCGTAAATCTTAGCAGAAGGATGGATGGCTCAGATGAAATTTTAAGGACCAGCTCCTTAAAGTTGATAAACATATCAAATTTTTGAAGAAGAGTAATTAGTTCTTCTATTGAAAATGACATAGCAGGCAACAGCATGCAAGAAAAACTCAGAAACATAAAATTTATAAGTAGAATGGAAGAAGAGATGATGACCATTTTCTTATCCTCCTCAGAAAGAAAACATTAGAGTTTTTTTTCCACAAAGGATGCGGACAGATACAATTGACTATGAAGAACTTTCTTGTAATAAATTCACACCTTAGCAACAAAATAGAATATGAGATGCCTTGGTTATTCTCATTAAGTTTGCAGAAATCAAACACAATGTATTGCCCTGAAAGGGCATTCAACATGCCAAGTTTAAAAAATTGCTCCTGCCAGAAATAATTCACTCGATTTTCATCTCCAATAGACCTGTTGGAGTGTAATGGAACTATAGGCACTTGTCATATGGAAGTCATCCATCACTGCGTTCAAGAGAACAACACTATCACCAACCACTTAATGCCATATGAAGGAGATGCAACTTAAAGAAAACCTCTAGCCCTTTTTCCCTATGCAAATATATAATTTTCCTGTATTTCTTAACCATTCTAAGAATGGATTGTTCTCTTCTCAATACTGTGCTTCTTACCAATCAAGTTCATCTTCATACAAAGGCCAGGCTTGAAATGTCCTCCCTGTTCATCAACGGAACCCATGATACATAATACATTCCATTCTTGTCTCCATGTATTGACAAGTTGTTCAAAGCTTAGTACTACCTCTACTGTGGTGAGAAAATCAGGAATTCCAAGACAGATAAACCACGATTCTAGTATCTTATGGTGCATAAACAAGGAGGTGCATTAGTCAACATTTATCCCACCTCTACTTAGAAAAAAAAAAAAAGGTCCAACCCTTACAATAAAACTGGTACTTTGTAATTCTTCCCAGAAAGAAACATGACTTGGTTTCATATTCTATAATTGATTTTCTTTTTCCATGTGATTATATTGTACAATTATTTTTCTTATAAAAAAGATGTTATGCTACTCCTAGCAATAACCCCTCTATTAAATGGGATTGCCACTCTTTCCTGTAAAGCTTGCATATTTAACACCATTTTTGGGTGCCATGTCACAGCAGTTGATTCATTGAGTGGTACTCATTCAATGCCATAAATGCCATACAAGTTGCCATGTATTTCCCCCTTTGGAAGCTCTTTTATCACAGGATTTCCATTTTGAAAAGGGGGTTGGTGATGTGATAATGACCTTGTAGTGAATCTGTTCCAATGCAAGTAATCTGCCCATTAGAAGTACATAATTATATAAATGCACTTCAACTCATTTCATGGAAAGTATCTTCCCTCTCTCATAAATCATAATGACCCTGTGGAGAACTTTTATTCCGTCAGGTGACAAAGTTTCAACATCAAGTGGCCATCATCACCATCACCATTAGACATATGCAAAATTATGAGGGGCTAACTATAATCATGCTCCTCTATTATGTAGGGCCATATCTTCTGTAACAATATGAATTGTCAACTTTTTTCCTGATTAGCTAAACCGGTATCCTTTTTGTTGTCCCTCTTGTCTTGATCCCTCAAAATCCATGCCAAAATCATTTCTCAGTTGTATAGTCATTAGTCCTTGTTCCACATGACCAAGTCATCTCAGTTATTGAACTCCAATGAGAATAAGAAAGGTTTATTTGTGCAATAAAATTGACCTAATGAATACAGCAATTTGTTGTCACACTCCTTTTCTGTAGCAGCATGGCCTTCATTTTCATCTTTAGTGATCATGTCACCTGTTGTAGGCCCCTCTTCATACACCATAAGGTGGATATCTGGAATTCCATTATGTACATGCCTTATTCTTTCTTTTTTAGAGCAATAAGGGAAACTGAATGTTAGGTTAGCCAAATAAGATATTGAAATAGAATATATTTGACTTTTTTATAACAAGCTACTTCAAATACTCCCACTAGAAGATCTTTGCACACATCAGCTATTTGGCAATAGAGTATTTTATTAATAGAAGCAATAGAAAAAGGTTCAAAAATCTTAATTATTACTGATAAAGGAAGGCTCTGAAATTCTTTAGGAATCCCAAGGGCCAAATCCACCACGGGAAGCAAAACAAGATAGAAGAAGCTAATGAAACTATAAAGCATAATATGGCCCTTGATCTAATTTCAATCCAATAACTATCCCTCACTAGCAAATACATTCCTCCATAACAAAAAGATTTACAGTCTAAAGGCTAAAACACAAGTTTCTGTTACAAGGTCATGAAGATGCTAAACCAATAAACAAACCCCCAGAAAGAGAGAGAGAGAGATTGCATGAGTTATATTATCTTAGCCCTATAATTGACCTCTCCAGTATAAGTCTTAATGGACTGAATTATCCAGATACTGACGTAACTGGCCTTGGTTAGTAGGATTAGTGCAAAATGATTGGACTGCAGTTACTTAGTTCATGGTTTGCAATTCAAACTCCAAGCCGGGTTGGGTTAAAGGCCAGGTTAAGATTGAAAAATATCAACCCAACTTAACTTAAGGTTGGGTTAGGGTTTAGGCCCTTGGAAACCCTACCCAAGTCAACCTGAACCATTGGCTAATCCTAAGTCTAAGAAATAAGAACATGTTTTTTATTTAAAAACAAAAAAAAGAAGTGAACAAATTGGGCCAACACAAACCCAACTCCAACTGTCCAACCCAATCTGATGTCCAACAACTCAGGTTGGGCTAGGGTTGACCTCAACCCAACCTAACCCATCCTGGCTTTCACCCCCAATAAACACATTTGTATACAAATCTTGATTCTTATAATGGGGAAGTGCATCTTTCTTCAAAAAAAGGAAAGTTAGTTCCTTCTTCCCAATCTGATGTTCAACAACTCAGGTTGGGCTAGGGTTGACCTCAATCCAACCTAACCCATCCTGACTTTCACCCCCAATAAACACATTTGTATACAAATCTTGATTCTTATAATGGGGAAGTGCATCTTTCTTCAAAAAAGGGAAAGTAAGTTCCTTTTTCCCAATGCTAAGAGACCCAACCAACCACTTAGAATGCAGTGTCAAGCCAGTAGTGCTTTAGCATCATAATTACAACTACTAATAAACATAAAAGCATAAAATAAATATTTTTTATAATCAAAGATAAAATAAATAATAGTTGTAAAATATTGTTGGATATTTAGGTGGCTTACTCAGAAATTGATGTCTCACTTTAATGTTTTTTAGTTGTTTGATTTAAACAAATAGAAGTGTTAATTAGACTATTAGTTTTTTTTATTAATAATGTCTTATCAAGAACTTGTCACTTTGTTAGACCTTTCCTGGTTATAACTTATAACTGATTAGCAATTTTTTCCGTGCAGATTAAAGCTGATTGTACCAGTTCTTTAATTTAGACACAGGTTTCCAAATGCCAAAAGGGGACTTTTTTATAGTTGGATGCGTATGAATGAATATTAGTAAATGGGAAGCTTTCATTTACTATATGCATGCAAGCAAGTATAGATACTTTGTGATTTTTTATAAGAGACCAGCAATTTGCATGTATCCAGTCTGTACCAAACTACCAATTATTTGGTTAAGTCAGGCCTGGAACCCTAACCAAGATACAGACCTGACAAGATATGAAACACATGAAGATAATAAAGCCTAGGTTTGGGTACATGAGTGGATCACCCAAGATAGTTAAAGTGGCCAAGTCATGCCTGATAAATAAACGAATACATAAAATGTGAATTATAAACTATTAAATTTGCAAATTAAATCATTGACTAATTAAATGACAACACACATGCTTTTTAAGGGAAAAATGACAAGATTTGTGATTAACCTTCGTGGTTTGAACTTTGAAATAAATGAGACATAAAGACAAAAAGGGATTAAGAGACCTAATTTTTAGCATTGGGCATATCCATATAGGCCCAACATAGGTTAGATAAAGTCATAACAATACATATAAGCATTGTAATTAAATGTGAACTATAAACTATTAAAATTGCAAATTAAATCATTGACTGAGTAAATGACAACTCACACACGCTTTTAAGGGGAAAAACAACAAGATTTGTGAACAACCTCTCCCTGGTTTGAACTTTGAAATAAATGAGACAAAGACAAAAGGGATTAAAAGCCTTGACTTTTTAGCTCTGGATGTCCATATAGACCCCTATAGGCCTAACATAGATTAGATAAAGGCATAACAATACATAAAGGGGAATAGTTTCTTACTTGAACCAACTAAAATGTTTGTATCTATGCCTCCTGTCTAGTTGGTTGCCTAAGTGATAGGCCTCTAAAACACCTAGGAGTTTATCTAGTTGACACCTAGGTAACACTTTAACTACACTGAATAATAATATCCAATCCTTAGGCCTCCTGAGGCATAAGCATAACCAGTAGCTATGTTATAACTTACAAGGAAAGTTCCACCAAAAGCTCTTATTTTAGGTATAGCAGGACACCCCCAAACTACTATACTAGATAACAATTTATTAAAGAGGTAGAGAAAAATACAAGAGGAATAAAGGCCCCTTCTCTGCAGGCTAGAGTAAAGCTGAATTTTGATGGTAGTTCTCTAGGCAATCTAGGTCCATCAGGCATTGGGGAAGTCTTCAGAGATGAGGAAGGAAAGGTGCTGGCCCTCTTCTAGGGTCCAATTGGAGTGGAAGACTCACTAAGGGCAGAAATAAAGGCCCTGCTACAAGGGCTGAGACTGGCTAAGCAGTGGGGTATGCAACAGTTAGAAGTGGAAGGTGACTCCAAGCTCGTAATCGGTTGGATGCAAGCAAGAAGTTTAGGGGCTTGGCCTTTCAGGCAACAGCTAAGGGAAATATTGTACTTAGCAAGAGAGTTAAGGGTACAGTTTAATTGGGTAAGAAGGTCAGCAAATGGAATGGCTGATGCTCTAGCTAAGCAAGGAGTAAATAGGGAGGCTTTGTTCTGGGCTTGCTTGTAGACTGTTTATGCTACTGGTATTTTTATCCATCCTTTGGGTGGTGACAGATGTATTCTTTTAATCTCTTTTAATGAAAGTTACTGTTTCCTATCAAAAAAATAAAAAACAAAAGAGGAATAACAAAAAATAGAAAACCGAGAAACCTCTAACAGCTAAATTAAACATCTCTATCAGAATTACATTATTCCATAAGCACTTCCTTGCCAATGATTTCAAGGGAAACTGAAAAAGGTTTGTTTAATCAATCCATAGATCTGTAACAAAAAAGAATAAGGCATAGGTGAATGGCGTCAATCGATATCAAAGATCTTGTATATGGGGCAAGTCATAGTTACCCATGGTTCCTTATAGACATTGCTCCTTCCCTGGCTTCTGCCTTCCCACATAGCCAAAAACCTTTTCTTAGGTCCAATGCAGAATTATAATAATAAGATCCAAAGTTGATGGTTGGTAAATTGCTTATAATTACAAAGTTCTACCAAAAGGTCTTGGTTGAAATGGAAAAATGATGGAAGACAATGTTTACTCATACTATGAGTTTAGCTAAAATATCATATATCAAACATAACCTAGAAATAGAGTAACCTAAACTAGATTATAAAAGCTTACCCCCTAACCAACCTGTCAACCTGATTCTTCGACAAATGGAATATTATTAAATAAAGCAGAATTTGAACTAGAGGGAACTGATGAACTCTTGGATCACATAACTATGGAAATCTCAAGATCAGATCACAATCTCTCCAAAAACACAGCCACTGTCACCTTGCTAAATGATCTGTGGTTCCAACTACTTAGGTGCTTATAGGTGTCTAGAACATCAACCTCCAAAATTCATGGTATGGAAATATGCCAATAAATAAAAAGTACATTAAATAAGTTACCAAAAAATATGGTAGAAGAAAGGGAAAAAAAAAGAAAAACTTTGAAAATCAAAGTGCTGTCCTTAATTGGACGCACCCTTTTTTCTGATATCATGTTTAGTATTACATGTAGAATTTTTTTTTCTGTTTTTTCAGCTGACTTCAGCTTCTAGCATCGTTAAAGCTATAATGCCAAATGTAAATTGTTCATATGGCTAGACTGTTAGTTTTTAGGTGTCCTAGTAATGCCATAAAGAATCCTGCCTTTACTCATACCAAGAATTCTTTTCAAATTGATTAGAACTTTTTTTGGTAGAAAATTGATCAGAACTTATATTCATCAAATCCACCCAATAAGGAATTAAATGTTAATAAGAACTTCATAGGTGTGGCTGGCAATTTCTGACCCACGTAACCCACATGCTTATAACCAACGAATTCACTTAGCAGGTTGAATGGGCAAAAATTGAAAACATGTTGATGAAATTCCCAAGCCCTTATCCCTTTGCTGGTTGAATTAGAGAGGGTGGGCCATCGAGTGTGGGTTGGGTTGGGTTAAATGGGTGGATTTAAGCTCAACATCCACCCACCCAATTGTTACCCCTAGCCTAACACCCAAAATTGACTTTCATTGATCTCTAGGGGGAAAAACTCTAGAGAGAAAACTGAATTTCTTTAAGCTTCATTTCCGAAAGGGTTTGACTATGATACCTGAAATTTTTTTGACCAATCAATTAGTATCAAAAACGTGGTAGTCAATCATGTGTTATTTATCAGAATTCAAGGGTGGGTTTTGATTGGTCAAAACTCTTCCGATACCATGTCTTTCCTGCATCACAGATTTTCCCTTCCAAAAATTTACTTCAGAGTTGAATGAGAATCTGATTCATCTCAATTCATTAACACCATTGTAAATAATCAGTTTGAAGCGATACCAACAAGATAAACTTTACAAACCAGCAGCTGGAAGGCTTAAATTTAACTTTAATTGCTGCTGTCTGGGAGGGAAATCCAGGGAATCAGGAATTGGGGGTGTAGTGAGATATGAAACTTGTAATATTCTTCTTAGTTTCTCAGGTCCAATTGGACATGGAATCTCTCTCAGGGCAGAATTGTTGGCAGTCATTCAAGGGTTAAAATTGCTAAGGTTAAAGGGATGGAAAGAAGTGGACATTGAATGAGATTGCCAAATAGTTATCTCTTGGCTGAAGAATAGAGAAGAAATTCCATGCAGGATGAGGCCTTTGGTAAGACAGGCACTCTCCCCGGGGGATCCCTTGAACACTTCATTCAACTGGATACCTAGAAGTGCCAATTTAATGGCTGGCACATTGGTTAGAACGGGAGTGTTAAAGGGTCATCTAGAGTGAGAATGTCCAAGGGCTAGGCTATAATTTGTATCTTGTTAGTCTTTTTTTTTTTTAGTTTAGCTTCAGCCTTCAGCTTTGTGCTTGGCCTCTTATTCCTTTGGGGCCTGTCTGATGTATCCCGGGATGTTTTTCAGTTCCTTAATTAATGAATTTTACTTGTTACTTATCAAAAAAATGCCAATTAAAGAAAAAGTTTTGATACTCAAAATCTGACTTGCAACAGAATGCCTTCCAAAGAAAAGTTAGAATTTATTTACATCCACTCATAATCCAATAGAATTTCTCTGGATAACAACAGAAGTTCTGGGATTCAATAAATAATTAAATATACATGAGCAACTAGCTCCTCTAAACCAAAATTCCATGCTGGGGCCAAACCTCATCCAAGAACTTAATATTTTATACTAGCATTTGAAAATGGACCACGTCTGCATAAAGTGCATGTCATTCAAATATGGCATCCAACCTCTGAATTTGGTTCCTAATGTTGATAAAAAAAATTTGGTTCCTAATGAGCATAGCATAAAACAAAAAAAAAAATAGAAATATCATAAACAACATATCGACTTTCTTTTTTCCATAAAGAAGATCCTAACGCTGGACTGTTAATTTAAACTTACATGACAATCCAAATGGCCCCTACAAAAGGAACAGCACCCCAAAGCAATCCACACACAAGAGCAACTACCTGTCGAATCCAATGCAAGGCATCTCCCAATTGATCCTACATCAAAAAGAAACCCAATCAAAACAGATTCCCTTTGGAATTTTGATGCTGGAGGTCCAATCTCAACTTAAAAGCACTCATAAGACCTCTGAAAACTTTAATGTAAAAACAAAACAAAGAAAATAAAGGGGAAAAAACGATTAATAGGCATTGTTGAAAAGAGCGAACCTTTCTACTGTGCAAAGACGTGTGAAAATAAAAAGGAAATTTCTTCTATTTCAATTTCAGAAATCGAGAAAATAAGGCGCCATTTGGTAACATCCTACGGGAACGCTCCTGGTTTCCCGGGAGCAAAAAATAGTAGCTTTTCCGTTCCGTAGTTACCTTTCCATGGGAACATTACGAGGCACGGGCTAAACTCCTCGCCAAAGGAAAATTGGTAGAAGAGAAAACAACATTCTTCCTCAAAGTAAATGAAGCAAACTCAAGCCGCAACGTCGAAGGGAAAGGTTAATAGGAAAAGAAAGGGTTTCTCTTAACTTTACTAATTTACCCGAGCGAGAGAGAGAGAGAGAGAGAGCGTTGTTACCAACATTAAATTAGAATACCAACTTCTACACAGTAGTTAAATCACTGGTTCATTTGCAGAAAACATAAATTCGTGGCTGAAGAGCGAAGTCAAAGCAGCATAAAGCAAAATTAATAATAAAAAGCTAATTAAAAAACAATTAAAACTAACATAAAATCAGTACCTTGTCCCAAGAAGCCTCAGGATCCAACAATTTCCCGAACTTGAAGGGAGAAATATGGCCATTCTGCTGTTGTTGCTGTTGGTGATTGAATTTTGATTTCCCTTCTTTCATGACGATGGTGATGAAATTATATTCTCGAAAATTGTATCTGACCCAGAATGAAGCTCAGATGTCAGTGAAACTCCCGATTGAACTGGGTTCAATTTCCGGTTCTTTTCTCTGTAAACAGCAGGAGTGGCAAAGGACCGTGCATGTTAGGGTTTCGAAAAGATGATGGATAACATGGAGAAACCACCTAAACGTAGATTGATCGGTCAGGTTAGCAGTACTACTCTAATGAATACTACGCTGGTAGTAGATCTGACTTCTGGGGTTCATTGAACTACGAACGCGAGGGAACTCGCGAGCGAGCGTTTCAGTTTGTACGCCTTTTCTAATCACAGATGGAGATGGTTACATGTGATGTGATGTGACTGTGATCAACTCCTACGCGATCGTACGCACTAGCGGTCTATACCACGTGAAGAACACGGAACCATTACATTGTAGAAGTAGGAACATTGAGGAAGACTTAGGCTTTTACGGGTATTCTCTCAGAGAGTCTGCTCCTCACATGCGCCTCACACGCACATCCTACTAGTTATTATTCACGGGAGGGAACAGCATCTGTTCCTCACATGCACATCCACCGTGCACTCCCATGAATAATTAAGTATGGAAAATGTTTCCAAATCCTAATGCATGGTAGAATGTGCATGTGAGGCACACTATGTGAGGAGGAGGAGATCTTGTCTCTCACGGGAGATATTATCAGTGCACCGTGGATGTGCCTGTGAGGCGCTCATTTGTGAGGAGTAGATCTCACTTCTTAAAGTGGAGTCTAATTCGCAATGTGTCAACCATTTAGTTGATAAAGTCTCTTGCTGGTGGTGACGAGATTTGGGATCAAATCCAATTTACACTTTGATTAGGGTGTTAGGACTATGAATTGGGGGATGGATTACCCTATTGTGTAACCATTCAAAAGATATAAAAATAAAATAAAAGTTTGAGTGCGGATCCATACTCCAGTCTATTCTTTACAAGGGGGAGCATTACACCACTTTCACAACAGTTGGTTGTGCCACATGTCCCCAAATTAGAGGAAGGCTTTCAAGCTACAACCCCCACCATTCAGACATGTGGCTTTTTCAAATTTAGACACATGACATTATCCACGTACTTATTACAAGGTCATTCACTAGTCTTAAATAAAAACTGAAATACAAACCTAGAATTGGCCTCTCTATGCTTCATTTTCAAACTAAAAAAGCATTGCATTCATTTGAACCGAGTTGGAGGAATAATGTGGTCACCGACAAGGTTTTAAATTTAGTAACATATCGGCAGATACGTATCGTTTCGGAAGAGTTACGATACACAAAACATGTCTAATTAAATGGTTTCGTATTTTTTCATCCGTATCGAACCGATACAGGTCCGTACCGGCCTTGTACCGGTCTGTTTTGGGTATGTATCGGCATGCCGAAACGGGCCAATATGCATTATGTATTAATCAAATTTAATTTCCCTCTCCTTTTTAAATTTAAATTTAATTTATATCTTCTCTCTCTCATTAATATCAATTTTAATTAAGCCTTAAAGTCTGAGACGTCACTAAATGCTAATATAATTTAATTAAATGCTCATTTAAGTTACCTTTAATTATAGTATTTAATATGTCATTAAATGTTATTTAAGTCAAATAACTTGTTAAAAATCACAAACCAAAGGTAAGAAGTTTTGAACCAAAGTCATTTGCTTGCAACACCAATTAATTAACCATTATGCCAACTTCAATTACTTACTAAAACAACATTTTTTTTATACTTAAAGTAATCTTTCTTGCCTTGGTGGATGTTTCCCAACAAATGCTATAAATTTGATTATTAATATTTTTATAATAATAAGATGAATACAAGTTAAATTTATTTATTACAAATTAAGGAGTATATTAACTTGTATACATAATAAATATCATCTAAATCTATATATAATAAATATTAACTAATAAATGACTTCAAAAAAATATTAACTAATAGTATGTATACACATACATTTTAGTTCTTCTATTATTTTTCAATGGTTACTAATTATATCCCAATACTTCATATAAATCATTAAAGAATGGTTTTTTATGTTTAAATAAATTAGTTATAATCACATAAAACTCATTTTTATTATTGTTCATATTTTTTAAAGATTTTTGAATTTTCTAGTGTATCCATGCGTATCTTGATTTTTTGTCCATATCTATACGTTTCCAAAGCGTATTTTGATATGTCTCTTAAAATTACCTTTCCGATATACCTTGCGTTTCTGATACTTTGAACCTTGGTCACCAGTGATAGTAACTTATCAGCAATGGTCATCGATGAGAGTATTCTATAACTAAAAAAGAGAAAAACAAAGAACCCTGACATGAGAGACAAATTTTACAAAAGCCTTTTGTTCTTAGGATTTTGGGAAAGTAGGGGGAACCCAAGGGAGCCATGGCCCCCCATGGTCTAGAAATCCCCCACGTGTAAATCTCCCCCTCCCCCACTCCCAAACCCAATGGTCCCCCCCCCACCCTCGTTGGCCCATTTATATTTTATTCCCCCTTCCTAATCCACTTTAGGTTTTTGGCCCCCTCATGAAAATTTCCTAGTTCCACCCTTGGTCTTTAGTGAGAGGTTTGGATAGGAGAGAAACAGGGGTGAGAGGTTTGGATAAGAGAAAAAGAAAAAAAAAGGTAAAATATCGTTTTTTTTTTTTGTAAAGACAATCTCGAAGTTCATTCAAATGAGGGGAAACCTCCAAAAAATCATGGAGCAACTCCCACTCATTATATGGAGTTTGATGAGTATCAAGAAATTGAAACCAGCTCCCATTATTACATTCTTTACCAGCAAGAAAGTAAGCATAAGCTATTGTTTTCCTACATACATGAACCCATATAACCTGATCAAAGTTAGCCCATAGTTTTTAAGGTGCCAAGCCTAGGCGATGGATTTTTCAACTAAAAATATGTATCCTAGGGTAGTTCCAGAATCACACTTCATTAATAATTATCCATATTTTTCATAAGAAAAGTATAAACTTCACGTTAAAGTATAGAAAATCAACATATCCATGAGAAAAAAAAAATCAAATAAATTTCAAAAAATATAAGGGCAAGAGCCCTATTTCTGTTATAGGAAAATAATAAAAGAAAAGGTTGAAGAATAGAACTGGTATATAGCATAGACACACAAAATTAGTAAAGAAAAAGAAGTAAATGTGTTGGTTAGACAACATTTTAAGTTCTTCCTTGCTTATTGGTCCAGGTTTTGAAGTCTTTTAGGGTTCAATACAACATTTAGCAATGTGTGTGTTGATTTAACCCCAACAAATAAGAAAATAATAAAAGGAAACTAGTATATAAACACACAAAATGAATATTTTAGTTTAAAAATTATTTTAAAATTATAACCACAAAAAAATAAGAATATAAAATTTTTGTCTAACACACTATAGAAAACTACTTGGCGATTAGGCGAGGCAAGCCTTCAAGGGCGCCTTGTCGCCTTGACAACTATGAGTTAGACAATGCTTGCCTTATATCTTGGAGAACAAACCAAATCTCAATCAGCTACGTGAGGAGTTTCCAACTTCATCACACTCACCAACCATAAGTTATCAATCATCAAAATAACTAATTTAAAATTCAGATATACAACACTTCGTAAGCCCATGAGAGATACATAACTTCTTAAGACCATAATATCGTCGTTTGTTTTGATTAAATTGTAATATGTACGCTTCTCTGTCACCTGATTGGTTCCTAATTTTTCCAGTTCGGTCCGGTTTTGAAATCCATGTTGTAAACCATGGGTACAATAAATTGATAATCATTTTGTCATTCTAAGGAAATATTTCCAATACATGACTTGTGTACAAAAATTTTGTGGGCAAGAGATGCAAAGTGTCTGTGAATGTGATAAATTGATAATCATTTATTGTTTGGATATTACATATCCAATCACTTGAATATTGGATTCTTGATTGAATGAGTGCCAAGGATGAAATGGATCGGGTTAGCTTAGCAAATATATGTTGTAATTTGTATAAGAAAAAAAATCTATGATACTAGAAAGACATGATACTGAAAAAGGTTTTGACCAATCAAAAGCTTGTGATTTTTTATGAAAACCCACATGATTGGTTACCATTTTTATGATATCCATTGATTAGTTATAATTTTTTCCATTATCATTTATTTCTAGCATCATGATTGAATCCCTTATATATATATACTATTTTAAAAAGCATAAATGGCCTCAAGAATATTTCTAGAACTTTATAAGGACAAAATTTACCCCTCTATATTTAATGCATTCAATTCTCTCTCAATAAATCCAACATTTAAGTTATTAACTTGCATTCATATTCATTGAATCACATATTTAAGTCATTTTTGTTTCTCCTCATCATTAAGTTCTATTAATTAAATCCATACTTAATAAATTAATAATTTTAATAACATAAAAGCTTATACTTTTTAAATCTACCTAGCAAAAAATAGTGTTTTCATCTAGGTAGTGGTAAGAAATTAAATCATTTTGGGTCAAATGGGTTAATTCATGTTGCCATGATTAAATAATAAAATAAAAAATAGATTAAAAAAATTGGGAACATTTTTAAACAATAATAAGTATGATAAATAAGAAAGGTTTTTATTAATGGTGGAAATGGAATGTAAAATTTAAAACCAATTGGAAATAAAAAAAAAATTCTATTCTATCTCATTAAATCCTATATTTAAGATATCTTTTTCTCATCATTAAATTATTGTAATTAAATCCACAATATTAATTTTAATAGTATAGAAATAAATAATTTGAAAACAAAATTATTTTCTTCCCTCCTGGTGGTGGGTAAGCAATTCGACCATTTGGGGTCAAATGGATTAATAAATAATGACATAATTAAATAAAAAATAAATAAATAAATAACTATGAAATGTAAGAAGTGTTTTTATTAATGATGAAAATGGAATGCCAATTTCAAAATCTACCTATAAATGAAATGATGTCATAGTCAAATAATAAAATTTTCAATAATAGAAAATACAAAGAAACAACAAAAAAAAAAGATAGAGAAAATTTTGGGCACATGTCTAATGTTATATATTTATAAAAAATAAAATATAGGGCACATCTCTAATATTGTGCATTCATTATATTGAACAAAAATAAGTTTTATACATAAGAAATAATTTTATCAATGATGGAAATGTAATACAAAATTTAATGTCAACCTAGAAATAAAACTTTTTTTGTTTTTAGATGGTGGGTTAGTGGTTTGAGTCAAATTATACCATAGACAAACAAAAATCAAGTGTGATAAGTAAAAAATATTTTATATAATATAAATGAAATATATAATTTAAAGGGGAAATTATAGTCAAATTCGATTATACATTTAAAATTAGGTTGCAGGTCCATAAACAATTAAAACTCTAACAATCGACTCT